TCTGCATATTTTGGCAGATGCCCAAAGGGGATAAGGGCATGTTTTATTTTCCTTTTTCAGCTTGTTGTTGTGATTTTCAGACTGCATGTGTTTTCGAATGTGTCATCTGTTCGAGCTTTGGCCTTGTCTTTGCAGCGATATGAATAACCCTTTAATAACGACAGCTGTGCGCAGACAGAAGAAGTATGATGTAAAACAAATATCGTCTGCTCGTGTTTCTACGCACTTTGTTTGCAACACTTGCCCATGTTTGTTACGTGTGCGTTCCCCCTGCAGCGACGGAAATATCTGTGGTTCACTATTTGCAGCAAATAGTCAGTGACCAATAATTTTCTTTACCTCACGTCACGTTGTTCCCTTGCACCTGCAAGCCGATCGGGGTGTTTTTGACGCCCCCGTCAATTGGAGCTGCGATGCTGATGAATTGATTGACGAACCCAAGTGCTTGCACTCGCACCAAGCAGTTGTGGCAGCTGGCAGCTGGCGGGATAGAAGACACCTGTACTAACAAACAGATGCGTAACGTATGGTTCCCTGTGTGGATGTGCTCCAAAGGTGGCTTGTCCACGATCAGGCCCCCCGAGCCGCGGTCGCCTTTGCCTGCCTGTGATATATTTGTGGAGCGCATTTCAGGCCGCTGCAGCGAGTGCCGTGCTGCCCAACTGCTTAACGTGAGTGTGCTTTTGGTGCGTGCCGCGAATTGAACAGGACGTGGCCGGGGCACGCAAGGAATCGTGGGGATGACGTCGATGAAAACTACGCCGACGAAAAACTCGGAGGATGCAAGATTTACGATCCAGTTGGGTGCCATTTTGCGCGGTCGCCTCATGCGCTGAGGGTGGATTGTTGCAAACCTCTTCTGTCTGTGCGCATGGTTGATGGCAGCACCTTTCATTTCGCACATCCCTTGCCGCGCTAGGTGAAAAAATGGCGAAAAATTGTGCCAATATGACATACATCCAAGACTTTTTCGAGTGCACCATCGAGCCTTAGCGAAGACGAAATTTATGGCAATGGAAATAGAGCATTCCATGCGGGGACGGCGCGAAAGGGCCATTGCATCTTCAGGATACGGCTACTAGACATATCCTAATTTAGGATGTCGCTAGGTTGTGGCTCTCTTGATCGCGCACAGTGCAGCCACACCTGGCTTCATCTCCTGCAATTGGGCCAAATGAAGATAGCCACTTTCGAAGAATGTTACTCTCTCCCCATGATGCCTGCATTTGGCACGATCTCTAGCTCCTGATGCGCTCTCTGTGCTCCCGCAGCGCACTCGACCATGGTACACGGCGGCCACCAGCGGACCAAAGGACGTCGTGCTGCTAATCGACACATCACGTGGGTTCGCCTCAATTCCAACCGCGCCATGCGCAGCTGTTGCCCTGTTGGTGGGGAATCACCGTCGACGTATATCTGATTGAAGACGGAAATTTTGAGTCAAGGATTTGAATGGAGGGGATGTACGCGCAGTGTTACATGCACGTGAACTGCATCGAGGCAGCGGAATGATTTGCTGATGTCGGCTGCATGGTTGGCAATGGATAAACGACAGAACACCTTTCAACGTCTGCTTCTGGACCAGGCGGTGATGCTACACGCGTCCCGTGGGATTTGCAGGCATGCCGAAAGACACCCATTGGTTCTGGCAGCGCAGTAAATACACTTCTGACAGCGCAATACGGCGCCGTGCATCGCCACACACCACCAATAGAGTGGGTCACCACAAGCGGCAATGAGGCGACGCACATGGCACGGCGCCAATTGCGGTGTTGCGGATTTTTCGCAGGCAGCATGCTGGAGCCGGACAACCCGTTCGTCGAGGACTCGCCCACGCGCTGGGACAACGCCAAAGACGCGCTGCTGAGGCTGTTGGACACTTTCAGCCACACGGACTACATCAACATGGTGGACTTCAGCGACAAGGCGGACTCCCTGATTCCGGGCGGCATGGTCCAGGCCACCACGGCGAACATCGAGCGGGTGAAGGAAGCAGTGCGCAGGGTGCGGCCGCTTGGAGGCACAGACTTTCGGAGGGGACTGAACAAGGCGTTCAACCTGCTGACCAAGGCCTCGAAGACTTTGGGCGAGGAAGATGTGCGAACATCGAATTGCCAAAAGGTGAGCAACGCCGCCCTTGGGTGGTGTCTGCGATGCCTGCCATTTCCGGACATGAAAGTCGTGAAGGGCGCGAACGCCCTGAGAACGTAAACATGCAAAATATGCTAGTAGATGGTAAAATTGCCAAGGTGCTAAGAAAAGACTTTAAGCACCGAGAGTGACCTTTGTGCCGAGAAACGGGGGGTATCTGACAATTGTGGGTCTCTGGCGCCAGCGGCACAGGGGTGGAAGAGGGTGATGCATCCAGTTGGCACTCCGTGAAGAGGTATTCGGCCACAAGTCGGGTGTCTACTCCTCTTGTGGCGCAGAGCAGGGCAATACCGCGCTAGGGCGAAAAGCTCAAAAAATAGACCAGATATTGGCATCCGTGTGATTTGCAACACTTCGGCGTGTTTCCTTTCAGGCAATGCTCGAGACCGAGGCTGTTTGCCCAATGTATGGCGTGTTGTGCCATGATGGAGGATTTCGAGTGTGAGCTGAATGTTTCACACTGCATTCGGCGTACGGCTGCGCATGGGTTCTGATCTCGCCAGCTTTTTTCATTGCAGCTTGCGCCCCGTGCGTGGCAGATTTCTGGTGCTGCTCGCACTGCCAGAAAGTCGTTGCCGATATTTTCCGTTTTGGAAACTGTGCCCTTCACTACCGTGCGTGTCCCGACAGGTGGTCATCTTTCTCACGGATGGACAAGACTGCGCGACGACAGGACAGAATTGCTCAATGGAGACGCCCGAAGGCTTTTCGCCTGTGGATGCCGTGCTGGAGTTCATTGACAAGCAGCAGCAACAGCTGGTGGAGGCTGGAAGCGAACGAGCGCACGTGTTTCCCATTTCGTTCGGACTGGATGCCGACGACGAGATTCCCAAAGAAATCGCGTGCGCGAATGAGGGCGTGTGGGGAAGAATTCTATGTAAGAGCCACGTCTCCAGCGCTCTCCAACCATTGCAAAATTTGCCTGTTTCAAGCACTTTCTGTTCGTTTCAGGCAGCTGTAATGACTCATTGATAATCATGGAGCTAGTAAATTATATCAAGAGCAGCATATCTCGTGTTCTCGGACTGTTACAGTTAGATTGCCAGCAAGTGTGCGTTATTCATGTGAGCAGTGTTCAAATGGAGCCAACCGGATGATCTTAATCGTGTGTGCCATTCCCCATCAGCGAGCCCTCTCTGCCAGTACGCAAAGGCATGCACATGTGCATGTACGCGCCCGATGTACAGAGCACTGCTCACATCGCTGCATGCTCGCGCCCCCCATAGATCACGCGCATCCAAGGGCTTCCGCCTGTTCGTACGTTAGTACTTCGTTTCATCTGTTATCTACTTCATTACTTCATCCACTACATACTAGCTCATACTTCACTGCATAGATTATACTGCTAAGCTTTTTCGCTCATGAGATGTACACTTCCTTCGTTGGCCAATGTCCTGTTTCATTAAGAGGCGTCTCGGCCGTTGTCTTCGCTGTCCGCGCAGCCGACGACGACCCTCTTGTGGTGCTCAACGCATACACCTCTTACCTGGCGTCCAAGCGGCGAGACGCGGGCATCGTATGGACCAGGCAGTACGAGGATGAGTTCGGCCTGGGTAGTGTCGTGACCGCCACCAAGCCCATATACAGCTGGCCCACGTCCGCCGGGGAGTTCGGCGCCCTCATCGGCGTCGTCGCCCACGACGTCCGCATCGAAGACGCCAGGGCGCTCATCCCCGAGGGGCAGAGCGTCGTGGACAGGTTGGTCTCGCGGGACGCCGAGTGCGTGGAGGCGGACTTCAGCGGCTGCGAGTTGCAGGTGGGCCGATGTGTGGCGTCTTCCGGGCTGTCTTACTTTGTTCAGGATTGCCTTCGGCACACACCAGCAGAAAAAAACCATTTTGGAGAGGCCAACTGCAATGTAATTGACGCCAATTGATGCCGTCACAGCTGGGTTAATGCCATCGTTATCGCTGACTGGGATGGCGCCGCTTTGTGTCAAAACGGCATCGCAGTTGGCACCATCTACCCTTTTTGTGCCTGTGAAAGCGATAACCTTGCACCTGGCAGACGGTGATAAGTGCGCATACTTCCCAGAACGTTCTTCTGCCCCTCGTCCGCATTGACTGAGCGAGGGGCATCGAACACCCCAAATAGAGGCCCCGTTAAGATGGCAGATGTCGTGTCGCCGAACGCATCTGAGCGGAGGAGACTGGGCGGCAGCGAGGCGATGAAAGATGATATGATACGACTTGATGTGATACGGCTTGATGGAGGCCTGAAGTCGATTATTGACATCGCGAAATGCTTGGTGTCCTGTTGTCGGCAATTGCGAATAATACACTGTATTTTTGCCCGCGCGGCCATGGGCGCAGCCCACTCATGCTGACTAATGTGCCCATACGGCGTTCCAAGGTACGATCTAAATGCAATGCACTGCTTGTCGTCTGCTGCATATCGACAATGGCTGAAAATTTCCTTGTTGGGATCCTCAAGCGTTGCATCCAAGGGCGGATGCCAGAAGACTGCCATGGCCTTCAGAACTTGGGAATTTTCCAACGTGCGCGCATGGCTTCCGCCGTCTAGCGGCGAGGTGTATAGTTCCAAGCCAGCCGGGCCTGGGCGTGGGCACCTTCGCATGTCGCTCCAGCATCGTATTGCAGGAGTGTTGTGTTGACAACACGCGCTGACGTATGCGTGTGCGTGCGGCGCAGCTGCTGCGCGGCCGCGCTGCGGAGTGCCCCGAGACCTTCATGGACAGCATGTGCTACTACTTCGACAAGACCGACTCCTTCTACATCGCGCCGCAGTCCCCCCTGCTCGACTTCGCCGAGGCCCAGGTCTACTGCGAGAGCCTGGGCGGCAGCCTGGCGGAGATCGACGAGCCCGACGAGGAGGACCTGCTGTCGGGACTGGCCCCCAACTCCGGGTCGTGGATCGGCCTGGTGCGCGACGAGGACTTCGTGTGGCGGTGGCAGAGCACGGGCGAGGAGGTGTCCCCGGCGTCCAAGGTCTGGACGTTCATGCGGGAGCTGAACGATGTGGGCAGGGCGTGCGGCAGGCTGGACCGGCGGGGCGTGAGGCACAGCGTGCACCCGGAGGACTGCGACGCGCAGGCGCGGTTCATCTGCGAGTTCACCGCGGAGGCGGAGCCCCACGTGTGCAGGGTGAGCCGACGCCGTCGATGCCTGCCATCGATGGCTTTCAACGACGCCTTTGCGGGCGTTGACGAAGGCAGGCGGGGTCGAGGGGCGACGACCGGGACCGCAGGCCCGAGTTCGCGGCAGCGGTTACAGCGGAGCTAAAGGGCGACAGATGTTCTGTCCTTTATATATCCGGTCCGTTCATTAGTGCCCTCAATTCTCAAATTCTCATCACCTCTTAATGCGTCCATATATTAATAATGCTCGAGCAGCTCCTATTACAGTGTGTTTCATGATGTATCAAGATCCCCGAAACACAGGTCATACAATGGGGCACCCCGCCCTAAGCAAATATACAGCCTTCACGCGCGCGTGTGTGTGGCGTGGCTGCTAACGTGCAAATGCATTGTGGCCACTGGATGCACGCAGCATAGCGCCATGGCAGTAGGGCTGTGTGCTGCGGGCTCGCTGAGTTCTTGCGCAAGGATTTTGCGACAGCACGTTGTTGAATGGATATGGTCGAGTTATGACTTCCCCTTTGACCACAAAGTATCACAGTGCGTTCAGGAGTCCAACCTGATGGGATGTTCACGTGGCGCCCGGCGCAATGTGCCCATGTGTGGACCACCCTGCAGACTCAAAAGCCCGGGGCACATAAATTCTCGCGTGCCCGCATTCACGAGCTTTCCCCTCACTTCCACTTTTTCGCCGCTGCCACCGAAATTCTGTCACCGGCATTGTCGCCAGTCATTGGCGAAATGGCCCAAACACGGGCGGCTGCGACTGCCCCGCCTTGTGAAATTGCCCCGCCTTGGCATCTGGTACGACGAACCAGGCATGACCTGGCATGACCGGTACGGCAACAGCTGATTCTAGGCTACTTCCACGGCGTAAAATGCCAATCCGAATTTGGGGCTCATTTTTGCGAGTTTAGTAACCTACGGCTCGCACGGGTTTGTGTGCGCCAGCGGGATTCCGACCTCATCAGAGTGGACAAGGACTACAGGTACAGCGTGCGCCCCCTGTCGACGTGCAAGATGGAGGACGAGGCATTCAAGGCCATTAGAGTTGCGACCCCGGAAGCGTCTTCACTCCCCGAGAATCGAGTGATCTGCCCGCTTGGAGAGCCGTCCACTACGGTCGACGTCCAGTGCTGCGAGGGCTGCACGCCGTAGCCAACAAAGGTAAGATCGTCCCTCTTTGCTCTCCTTCGCACCTCGCTCCATCTTTGTTCTTCGGATTCCTAAATCCCGTTCGCCAAACGTTGCCTAAAGTATATTGCATTGTTGGATTGTTCTTGGAATCAATGATTCCACGAGAACAATCTAACAATGTAATCTCACTAGGTGGCAGAGGGCGCGCATAACTTCTGTTAGAAGAGGGTGACCTTCCGACTCTTGTATGATATGCAATATTTTGAAAAGAAAGAGAACAGAGACAGGCTTTGTGTTGGTGCTTTGCGTTTTGTGGTTGTGTTTTGTGTTTCGTTTTCGTGTTTTGTGCTTTGTGTTTTGTGTTTTTTTGTGTATACATAACGGTCATCGCCTGCAAGGTGCAAGGGTACCGCTTTGACTTGTGACAGCAAATGTAGTGCAAGGGGGTTTAGACATGTTTTTGGTGCGAAAAGAAATGGTGTGAAGCGTCAGCATATGCCAGCCTGCTATTTCCTAAATGCACTGGGTTGCGATACCCCGTCACTCTCTTGCAACGTTGAAGATTTGTTAAAATTCGCCTGAAACAATGTTCTTCTTTGCTTTGCTTCAAATCTCGCAACGTTGGATGTTCAGCCAAAGTATCCTTTCGCGAGAACGCAGCGCGTTCGACGGAATGAATGCAAGCATTGGTGCTGATGATCATATAATATCATATTCCATTAAGGGCGTGTCAGTCCCCGAGGGCTATATCGCCACACAGCCACAAAAGGAGCGTTTTCTCCTCATGTTTGTGACAATACCTTGCCATCGCTCGCAAGCATACTCACCATGGTGTGCATCGATACCTGCATACAATCGACCAGAAAAACAGTGTCCTCAGCATGACGTCCCTGAGCATCTCCAACTTTGCAAAATATCGTTGAAGGAAACTACCTGTTGGGTTGCTTTCGACTTCCTTCCAGACGCTCCTTGTTTGAAATAGAAAACGGCAGCGCAGACGCTTGGAAGGCGGAAGTTGCAGTGGTGTTCAATCTGATCCGTCGGCGGCGGACAGCTTCACTGCCTTAAACTGCCCGCGGAACGCGGTTGAGAGAATACGCGATTGGCCATGCCCGAGCGCGCTGCGCGTTTTTGAGGACAATTTTCGGTAATTCTCCAGTTTGCAGCATAGCCAGAAACTACTATGGAAAACGAAAGCACCCAATGGCGCGTGCACCAACTGATGCGGTGGAAAAGGGGAAGTATCCGAACCAATGTTCTGTACTGCGAAAGGTGCTTGGATGACCAAGTAAAGCATCGTTACTTGGTAGATGAAGCGCTGGAGACAGTTTGCCTCTTTCTTCTCGAGGCAGAGAGTGGCGTGTTCCGTCGACCGAACGAGTGGAGCGTGAGGGATACAGAACAGGTTCCCGGCTCGCGCGGGGCATATGAATGGGCTCGGGTGCATCGTCAATCGGCAAAACAAGGCGTGACATGTGGGACATCCAGTTCGAAGGCAAGCCATGCCACTGCGATGCGCGGCCAGCGGGGCGGATGTCATCGGTAGAGGCTCCTCGCTTCGTTCTCTAACTTATTGTTGATCGGTAGTTGGGAATTATTCCCGATAACTAATATACAAATGTCTACGGCGCACCCTGGACGATTCATAACCATTAGCAGTCTAGCAAGTTTATTGAATCGACGAGACGGGCGCTTGGGCCTGTGCCCGGTTTTAGGAAATGAGTGGTTGCGCTTTCTTGCATCGGAGAATTTTAGTTAAGTTTTGAGGGAGAATTAAGGGGCGGGTGGAGAGGGAAAAACACAACGGCACGGAACCCAATCGATGGGAGATGGGAAGTGTGACATGGGCTGCAAAGTTTCCAGCAATTTGGACCTTAGAAATTGTGGACGTAATAGCTTAGTTAGAACCATGTCCACATGGGTATTATGCATGCGTGTCAAGTCGAACCTTGACACCTTTATATCAGCACCATGAGTTGTTCACTTGGGACATTTTAAGGAAATAATGTGAAAGCGGCTGATTGCGATTTCTTTCGAAATCTCGGCCCTATTTGTTGCCGAGCAATATCGGCCCTGCTTCTTGGCTGGCTCAGCCAATGCGGCGGGTGATTTTCTGGTCAATGGCATTCAGCTAGAGATGCCTGGTTTTGCTCCTTTGCCTTGCGCCTGATTCAAGAGACAGGTTGATGTGGTGATGGAAAAGGTCAGTTTATCCAAAATGTGCACATAAACACCTGCTGCAACACTGTCTGCACAATAGTGCACATTGATGTACATAGTTGCTGCATGTCGCTGAAATAATGAATCATGATTCAGATGCATACATGTGCCAATGCTTGCAATTCACTTACTTCTGTGCTTTCAGAAGTCACGGCATCAGGCTTTAAGTCCTACAGTTGGTGTTATACTTCCTCTGTCCGGAATTAAATGAAACAATTTGTTGGGAGGCTGCATTTGTATCAGGTAATTGTTTGCTTTCCTTGAAAATGCAGCCGCAGCATCTACTATACATGTATTACTTGCTGCCAGGAACGGTTAATTACAGCACATTCGCCAATGCACTGTACGACTCTGGTCCAGAATTTGGACGCTCCTGGGGCATCCCCCGCCAGCCGAAAACTGGGCTCCCGGGTTCCTGGATGGCCCAACACACATGTGCGGCCCCTTTTTGTGGGCTTCAGGGCACTGGAAGGATAGAGCTGCCAGCCTCGCTCAGGCTCAAACGCAACGATCGGCACCCATGGCGATGGACAGCCGGTGGAGATAGTTGATGGTCGTGCATCCCGCCATCGCCGGTTTGCGGAAATCCCCGCCAACGGCCACGGCGAAGCTAGGACATATCTCGGATCCGCCGTTGCCAACAGGTCTGCTGGAGTCTAAAGGCTAGCCATGGAACAGCTGCGTGCACCAACAGCTCTCCTTTCGTTGCGGATCTCCAATCAGTGGCCTGGTTGCTGCACGGAACGCCTCCTCACAAAGCGACATCAATCCCACCAAACACGGCCGATGGAGGGTGTGGATGCTACATTGGAGACCCCAGGTGGTGTATGGTGGTGCTGCTGTGTTCCGCAAGGGCGTCGTCAATAATTTGTTGCGGCAGCATCTCTCAAAGCGGGTTGAACGGCAAACGAAACGCTCCTTGTGGGCGACGCTTGGGTCAGCCGCATTCAGCAATCCTTTCGCTGCTGCGAAGTGAGCTGACTTTCACATTCTTCCAAACCTTCCGTGATGGCCTGGATACTTGCAGCCACCCTGTCCAAGGTGGCGGTCCCTTGTGAAAACGCCTTGGTTGTGAAGTTCGCCGATTGCCGAGTCGGTGATCCGAAATTGAAATGCACAAATGGCCGCCAAAACCACGGTCGCGATCGTAGATCGAGCAGAATGGGTCTCGGTTCCGCGGTCTTTGTGCTCCGAGAGGAAGGTCTCCAATCTGCCGCCACAACTGCAGTCGCAGATATCCACTCTGCGCCGCGCACCGACAGTCGCGAAGCGACCTGGTCAAGGGGCGCGAGCGTGGGACATTTGGGTTCTTTGGAAAAGTCATGTGGATTCAAAGTACTACAATATGATTTGTAGTTATCCATTCTTCACAAAAACTCGATAGCAGGTAAAATCCTCGTAGGCAGTGTTCTGGAAAATTTTTTAAAAAATAGTAAGCGGGTGATGCAAAGATGGTCTCCCAAAAAAATCGTTTCATTTAATTCCGGATAGAGGAAGTAAATGATTAAAACGTGGAGGGCTTACATGAAGCCACCAAATAATATTGCACGCGGTTACTTCACAGGGCAGGCAACATCAGCTGAAACAAGTGTACCCCTCCTTGCGGTACAACGATTAATGGATGCCTAAATACACCAACACATTATTGCTCCTTTTGTGGAAACATCGCCATCCTCTGCCGAATTCCGCTGGCGATGTTACACCCAACGACCACAAGCGAGGAATTTTCCAGAACCACAGCCACGCATGGATTGGGCTGCGTGATGAAGATCGTATTGCTCTTCTGATGGCGATGCGTCTGCCCCGTGCCCATTGGTGTCACATAAGCGACCATTCCCAGGGCACTTCAATAGCCTTCCCATGAGCTCCTGCAAGGTGTCCGTGATGGGCCAGGTCGAGGTCTCAAGCGCCACAGCTACTTCAACGTCGATGGCTTGCCTTCCAAAGGTGCTGGGTTGCGTAATAATTTTGGCAGGGCAACCAATCGGAGACTGCAGATGTCCTGACTGGCGCCACGCACTGCCGCATCGGGTGTTGAGAACAACAAGACTCGGACAAGAGTCAGCCCCCTCCCATTCCTGAGTATCAAACATAACGACCCATGTCAGTGGATGCACAACTTGACGAACGCTTTGGAGCAACACGACAATGGGTGACAAACGGAATGTAAATTACGACCCATGGCAGTGGATGCGCAGCTTGACAAACGCTTTTGAGCAATGCGAGACTGGGTGGCAAACGGAATGTAATTGCGCAAAGTGGGGATGGGGGGGGGGGGACCCAATTTATTGTTAAATTAGGGGAACACCTGAAGGGGCCTGAATTTAAACTCGCGGCCCAAAAGCGATTGGTCATGGAGAAAGTCTAACACCCTACTGATACTAAAATAGTTGCTGCAGCAGTTTGCAGTGATGCAAGCGGGTTGGTTATTTATGGAGAGCTTCGAATGATGCGAGGATGCCTTTGCACGCCGCTGCCCAACAACTGCGTGGGATCATTTCGGAGGTGCCACGGAAAGTGCTCATCCACAACAACGACCTTCTGCTTGTTGGAGCTGGGTCAGAATAACGATGGCTGGAATATCGGTTCCCTGCTCGCTTCTTCCCACTTGCAAATCCTCGCGCTGCCACCTGAATCAACGACGCGAGACCCACGGGCAGGCAGCCCAAAAGCGCCGTCCCAAGCTCGCAGCTTTGGGACAGCACATTTGGGCTATCTTCCGATGATGACGGTCTGGGTCATCTGGAAGGGGGGCACGGGGCATTCCTTGGCGGGACGCGGAAGCACATTGCATTCCACTGCTTGCGACGGCGTTGACCGTTGGCACCGTTGCCACAACCTGTTCGCTTCGATTTTTTCACCATCGACGCCCCTCGAAGGCAAGACCACTAGAGACGGGAAAAGTGTAATCGATTTGTCCGGGGCGAGCGAGTCGGGCTGGGCGGGACCCCTCAAACCGGTCGTGTGCTATATGACGTCTCCAGCACGGAAAGCGCGGCTCAAAACACTCCGCGGCAAGGGGCGGCAGTCCGCGCGACAGGTCCCCCCGCCTCCCTCCGGTAAGCCCGGGCGAGCCCCCTGCTGCGCCCGTCCCCGCAATCCCCCCATCACTCTCATTCCCCGCGCCCAGACGATGGGCGGCCGCTCCCGCCTGGCAGCCCTCGCCGCCGGGGCGTGCCTGCTGCTGCTGCTGGGCGCCCCCGCGGCCGACGAGGTGGACGATCTGATCGACGGCGTGGAGGCGGTGGTGGAGCGGGTGGCTGAGGCGGCGACGGACGCCTTCTCGGGGCGCTTCGCCTCCGTGGCCGACTGCGGATGCTCGCCTCACGCCTGCGGCAGCGAGTTTGGGACGAGCGAGTGCGTGGAGGACATCGGCGACGCCGAGTTGTGCGGCGGGTGCACGGGCCAGAAGGTGGGCCGGCGATGCCAGGGGGTGATCGGCGTCGCGACCGGCCGGGATCCTCGAAGCTTGGCGGTCGGGATGGGCGTGGGCATTCGACGCCGTCTGGGGATTCGACGCTGTGCGAGCGCGGGCGCCTGGTGGCTTGAAAGCGCAACTTCTCCGCTGCACGCGGAGCGCGCCGATCGAGCGGTTGTTTTCCCCTCCCTGGCGCCACCCCAGCGCGCCATTTTCAAGGAGGCGAGCGTCGAATGATGGGGACAGGGATGTTTGTCTGAGAGGGCTGAGTCAGACACGGCGGGTTGGAGGATTGTGAACGGGCCTCCGGCAGCCGCGCCCGGGCTTGTTGGGATGCGGCCACTGGCGCCGGTGCCCGAGGGGCGGCGGGGGCGGCCGCCTGCGCCGGGGGGGCGCCGGCGGTGGCCAGGGGCATGGGGGGGCGGGTGCTGGGGCAGTGTCGGCGTGGCGCTGTGGGGCGGGGCGTGTGATGGGGGTGTAGTCAAAAAGCTACCTGGTTGGCAAGCAACTGCGAGGCTGTGAATCATACCACGCTCGAGCCAGGTGGGAGGCTGTGCAACCCGTTTGCAAACCAGTTGGTGCTTTTTGCTCACGTTCCCGTTTTTTTTTCTGGCCCCTTTTTGTAGTACTGCAAAATATTAAACCCTTCCGCACAGCAACGTAACGCTTGGTCCTTTTTTGCGGAGAAAACTAATATAAATAGTAACGCAAATCTTGGCCTTTCTGTGCGGAGCAACGTAAAAAAAATAGAAATAACGCTGTGAAAAACAAAATGCGGAGCAAAAAGCATAACGGTGAAATTTTCTGATGCGGAAGGGTTCAATATTTCGAAGTAGTTTGGGCGTCGGGGCGTCCCAACCACCGGCAACGGCAAGGGCTCGGTAAAGTGGTCAGGATAGCGGTTGGTGTCTCGGGAGGATTGAGAATTGCAAGCTTCGGATTGGCCCCAGTGTCGATTCCCAGGACAGGGGCGAGGTGCTGTGGGGAGACGGTAACGCTCATCGGCTTAGAGATGGCTGGCAGGTAGAACCGAAAGGAATGCCAAGAATCGTGAATAACATGCAGCCGTTGCCTCATCCCTCCTTTGTCTCCAGCAGTTTAGGGAGTTTTTTGCACAGGCATGGGATGCTCACGCCAAAGGAATTGTGTGCGGGCAGTGATGCCTTTGTGTGTGCTATTTACACCTGAATCGAAGTTGGGGTCGGACCTGAATCAAGTAGATTGGGAAAGGGAGTCCAGGCTCTTTCCTTTGGTTTCAGGTTTTGGGGCTCTAAACTCTTGGGTGTATTTCGCTATTGTAGTTCGTGATGGCTCCCATGTAACTGCACAGGCTGCCTTGGTAGACAGATACAGAAGAACAGATGCTGTCTGATGGTCTAAAATCCTGCCAGAATAGGGGGCCATTTTCCATGCTGCTGTCATTGGTATAGTGCCTGCAACATAACAACGCTGAGCTAGTGATTTTTATTCAGTTCTGCCTGTCACGAGTTGTGAGGAACAAATGGGTCAGCCAGGGCAAAGTCTCTTTGTGCGAAACACGTGGGGAAATTGAATGGCTGAGGGGTCGACGGTTTGGGGGGAGTGAGCTGTCTGTGAGGGCTGGGTAATAATGCAAACGATGCCTGTTCTAGAGCAGTTGTTCACAAGACTAGACAGTGGTGGCTGCCCCAAACTGTGCTCATATAGATCGTGCATCAGCATCTAGTCAAAGACTGCCTCCGTTTCCTGTATCCACCTGGCAATGATTTTTGCGCTTCTGTGGCACTACCCCAGGCGCAGCATAAATCGCAAGGATTGTGAACATGGTTGCTGATAGTTGATGACATCTTGTGTTCTGATTTATATTCATTGCATTGCACATGATACCAGTTCGAACACAACAAGTCGAGGCGCTGCCAGAAAAGCGATTGGTGACGAGCAGTAGATTGGCATGGCTGTGTGAATAGCAGCCTAGGGCAGTTTGGATGAGTTCGTGCATCTGTTGGCTGATTTTTGTCCTGTGTGTCTGTCAAAGCTTTCCCTTGCTGAAAGCTTCATCTTGACACCACCGACGGTGGACATCAAAAACCTGACAGCCGATGTGAAAGATTCAATCTGCACATTCCAGGCAAGCAACTTTGTCGGCGTGGTACATTATCATGTATTTCTCCAGTATGTAGGTAGTGCCAGAACTATTTTGAAAGTGATGGGGAAAGTAGTTAAGACATAATAATGTGCTAAGTTGTTTTAACCTCTCTTCATTGTTCGGCATAGTTGCTTTGTGTTTGTTGCTTTTTGTTGTGTTGATCCAACTAATATTCTTAAGTGTGTGGTGCTCATTGTGTGTGCTGATTTCTGCTTTCTGCAAGAGTGATGTGGTGAATGTTTCATTTGCCATTGTAGAAATGAGGCCAGTGTGCCTTCTTTTGCAGCACTGTAAAGTTTATGGTTGCATTCGAACACAATGTCCAAGCCCTGTTTTGCAGTTCACCATGCATGGATTCTTGCCCCAAGAGTATTGAAACATTCCAATGCGTGTTTCACCTTGCACTAGGGCTGGTTGGATTGAGCAGGACTTAGCTAGCTGCGATGGTGGACATTTGATGCAGTTATCATGCTGCTGCAGCATTTGCAGATTTCAAATTTCTTGCTTTGTCCTGTGACCCATAAAGCTGCTGTGACAGTATTCCTGCTCAATGTCCCAAATCTGTGTGCGATGTAAATCTGAGAAAAGTGTAGAAGATAACTGGAGCATTGTGTTCAGGGTTTGAACACTGTCTTCAATGAACTGCAAAACAACCTGACCGCTAATGCTTGGAGTTACGTGGCAACAACAACTGGAATTATGAGGTAGGCGATTTGGACTGAGCTGCCATCTTGCTCTTGTAACTAGCCTGACAAGAGCAAGTACTGACTTTGGTCCTAGCTGTGCTGGATGTTTTTGGTGCAACGACTGCATGTTTTGTACTGATGCTTTCCTGTGTGACTTTCACAGAAACTGGCCTGGACACGCACATGATCGCGGAGTTGATGTTGATGCAGAGGATGCTGATAGCAATCTTGAAGATTGCAAGATTTACGACCCGGTCAGTGCATCTGCCAAAGATTCGCTGTGGTCTGGAGCTCTGACTCTTTTGCGAACCTCTCTCATCCAGCAACTAATTGAGTGCTGTTTAGTACTGTAGGCACTTTGCTCCCGGGGAATGTGCCAATGGGCACCGCCTCCGTGACTACAAGAAGGGATGATGTGCACTCTTGATATCTGCATATGCCCAGGCATGGGCACGTATGACTAGCAGAGCTTATGTGCAGCACAGGAGCTCAACATTGTGTTCTGTGGTTCAGTTCCAACACCTTGCTCATGTGCAGTTTATCTCATTTGTACAGTTTTTGTGCCTTGACCTTTGGGTGGCTCTCGGTGCACAGCGTGTTCGACCGTGGTATGCTGCAGCAACTAGCGGCCCCAAAGATGTTGTTCTGGTTGTCGATACTTCAGGTGTGCAAACCAGGCGTAGCTGGTGCTTTTTGTGCAAGTCTAATTTGTCCTCATTGTGCCAGATGTTCGTTGCCAGCATTGTGCATATTGCTGCAGTGCATGCCTCTGATTCATGACAGCAGCTGACAGCAGTTTTCACAAGGTCAAAGATCAGAAAATTTGGAGAAATTCACCCAGTGGTTGACATTGGGACATTTGCATTGTTTGCTTGCAAATGGGATGTTGTTGCCATAGCCTTTGTAAAGCAATAGCCTACAGCACGTCTGCATGAGAACATTATGTTTAATTGATGATTGTGGCATGTTTCTTTCATTAGTGGGTCCTGTTTCCCCTTGTGAACGTGCAGTGCTGCTGTGCCATCCATTTGTGAGTAGTTTTTGCTCTGGACAGGGAGGTCTGCATCGTACAAATAGTTGTTGTTTTGTTAAAGTAGACCCGTCAGGTCACTGGAGATGCCCCCAGCAAATACAGTTGAAGCTCTCTTCTGCGAGTGAGCAATTTAGCTCCTGAAAAGTCTCCAACAACGGGCAAAAGAGCGCTCAACACTGATGTCGTAAGGAGCCAATATCCATTGCCTGATGTGAAGTTCAATTCAGCAGAGCACAATGTCAAGTTCACAGTGTGAACAGCTTTAGCACACAGCTCAATCAGGCAGACAACCCATCTGGAGGTGGATAGCGAAAGTGAAACTGCGGGAACAGGCACATGTTTATGTGTGCAGCACCCCTCATCACCAACCACGTGCAAGGACAGTGGTCCTGCCTCATTCTGAGAAGTGTAACAATTGCAGATTTGCGCTCCATGCCACAGTTGCTGGCTTTGTGGCTCCTTCCAACATCAAATTCGATCGGGCAGCTGTTGCCTGACACATGGATTTGGAATGCAGAAGTGAAGCATCAGTTGTCCATTTGCTGTGTGTCACAGAGAGCATGCTTGTGGCGGACAGCGGCGACTCCACAACACGTTGGGATGTGGCAAAACAGGCGCTCCTCAGTTTGTTGGACACCTTCAGCATTAGCGACTACATCAACATGGTTGAATTCAACGACGAGGTCAAGAGCTTGAGTCCAGGCGGGTTGTTGCATGCCACGTCTGACAACATCGCTGCTCTGAAAGAGGAAGTGAATGTCATAGAGCCCAAGGGGGGGACTGACTTCCGTTTAGGTCTGGAAGAGGCATTCTCCCTCTTGACCATAGCAACGAAGAGGCGCAAAGATAATGAAGAACTTGTCAGCTCAGACTGCCAGAAGGTGACCATGGGTTTCCAGCCTGCTTGTGTGCCATGCGGTACAATAAACTGCAGTCGGAGGTTGAAATGTTGCCAGAAAATGGGTAAAAAATGTGTGCTGCACATCGTGAGGCTACTTCAAATTGTGGTCACGCACATCACACTGGCAAGTGATGCCTGTGTCATGGCTTGCTGATTGCTCCCTTGCCTTTCCTTGTCTGTGCAGGTCATTATCTTTGTGACAGCTGGTGAGGACTGCACCTTGGACAATGGAAAGGAGTGCGGAAAGCAGCCACCAGAAAATGTGACCCCTGTGGATGCTGTGCTCGATTTCATTGAGGAGAAGCAGCAGGCGCTGGTGGCCGCTGGAAGTCAGAGGGTGCACTTCTTTCCCTATTCATTTGGAGCTGATGCAGATGACGAAATTCCTAAGGAAATGGCATGTGCAAATGAGGGTGTCTGGGGCCGCATACTGCGTAAGTCGCACTCATTGTTTTGCACTGATGCGTTGCTGTCTAGTTTGCGTTGCTGTCTAGTGCGTTGCTCCTAGTGTGCATGCTCAAGTTGCTGTACAGACTCTTAGTCAGTGAGACATTGTGGCCCATCGGAACCTTGTAGGTGCCTTGCCTTGCGTCATCGTGTGGGCAATTGAAGTGAGAGGATTTCCAGCGGATGTATCTTCATGTCATGTTTATAGCATCTGGACCTGCGACATATTTCGCCATATGCAATGTCAGAATGTGCTGTCACCCGATCACCAAACCTGCTGTGTCATGCAATGATTCCTTGTTCCAGCTCATGCACACTGACACCTCCAAGTTGCTTCAAATCTTGCGTTCCCTAAACTAGATGACGTTGTGGCAGCCGGCGATGACCCTCTCTTCAAGATGAACACCTACACAGCGTATTTAGCCAGCCAACGAGGAAATACCAAGCCAATTTGGTCCAGAGTGTATGTAGACGAGTTTGGGCTTGGCGCAGTCGTCACGGCCGCCAAAGCGATCTACAGTCCCAAGACTTCTTTGGGAGAAGATGGGTCTCTTGTGGGCGTGGTTGGCCACGACGTCAGGGTTGGGGACATCGAAGCCATTACTGAAGATTTCAGAACCGTCATTCTGCAAATCGTCAGGCGTGGCATCCAATGCATTGACACTGTTTTCACAGGCTGTGAATTGCAGGTGTGGTTTCCGAACTGTTCTGCTTCAAACCCAATTTTTATTCTTGGTTGACGCCGGGCTACTGGGTCATACTGCAGCCGGCCAGCATCAATGAATCAAACACCCTTGCGATGGTGTACCAATGCAGTGGGCCAGGAAAGCGAAGCATATGCAGCTACAGTTCGTCTCTGTGTGCGGAGCTCTGTTTGTGGATTACATGTTTTTACTCTGCTGTGATGCCATCTTGTATGCGGACAGTATGTCAACACATCAACGCCAATATGTGGTACTGATTCTGCCACAGCAAAGTGTTGGATGTCAAGAGTAACCTAATCTTACGTTTACAAAGATGCATATCTTGTGGACTTAGAATTAATGTTTGCATTCATCTGGCGAGTCCTTTCGATATTGGAGGAAGAGGAGCCTCGATCGTTCTACTTGGGTCACGTTGAAATCGTTGTCGTTGTAATGGTGCTACCCAGCCAAATATGGTACAGTTAGAAGGTGTGTAATCTGATCTGTCAAATGGGCGCCTGCCTGTTGCTCACCCCTCTTGAATCTGCATGAATTGTCAACAAGAATATTGGCCACCAACTGCATGCATTTCCTTGAATTTGGTGCCATGGCAAGCGTGCAACTGACAATGGCACTCCTTGGCTTTCTACTTTTGCCTATATGCTTGTGGGCAACGTTCTCAAGGCTAAGAGAATGGCAGTTGGTAAATTGACGGCTGGTCTCGTTGCACTGCTGCCCCATTTGACGTTGCCCACACACTAAGGTTGTGTAGTCCATACTACAGGCACCTCACGCGATGTCCCACTTATGTGTTGATGCAGCTGCTCAGAGGGCAGGAAAGCGAGTGCCCCGAAAAGTTCGAGCCCGCTGACTGCTACTTTTTCTCAACTACTGGCGCCTACTACAGTGCCCCTAAGGAGCCCTTGCTGTCGTACGACGATGCAGAGGCGTTCTGCAAGGAGATGGGAGGCGAGCTTGCGGATATCAACCAACCGTTGGAGGAGGACCTTCTGGCTGGGCTTGCATCCAATGCTGGCTCCTGGATCGGCCTGAAGCGTGACGAGTCCGGGACATGGAAGTGGACAGTCACTGGGGAGGCAGTCCCTGAAGATTCAGTGATCTGGGTCTTCAATAAGGACCTGGAGGACCCAGAGAAGAGTTGTGCAACCCTTGATAGGCGGGGCGTGAGGAACAGCGTGCATCCAGAGTCCTGCAGCTTGCTCACCCGACCAATCTGCAAATTCAGTGCCGAGGCAGCTCCTGACCAGTGCACTGTAGGTTTACTGCTGGCAACACTGCGACACTCTGGTGCTGCTGTTGCATTGATCCTGACACTGAAACAGTGGCTGCAGCACCCTGCAGTGGCCGGAAAGTGTTGGACCTCTACTCACATCAAGAGTTTGCCGGATTTGCGGTGAAGTCCTGACTGTTGTTTTTCATTGCTTTTGAATGATGCGATTTGCGTCTGTCAAGCTGACCCTGTGGTGTTGTTGAACATGTTGGGTGGTTGAAAGGTTACCTACTGCTGCTGCTGTCTGTGCATCTGTGCAAGGCCAGCTTTCTACTAAAGGTGGATGATGAATGTGACAGTGCCGTTGATCATGTGCACTTCGTCACTGGACAGGAAACACGACAGCATATGGCACTGGAGCAACAAGTTTTGTGTGGGAATGCTCTCAGGACGCGTTAGGAGCACATGCTGGCAGAGAATCCAGCTTGGATTTGGCTCACCAATAGTTGGGACTGTCCATGGTTTGTGCGATCTGCGGGCTGCCTCATCCATTCATGCAGTGCCCAGTCCATCACGTTGTGAACTTGCCATCTCGAGTTCTGATTCACAACACGGTGTCTATCTTACAGGGTGACAATGTAATCAGAATCGATGAAGACTATGTGTACAATGTGAGGCCGCTGTCAACGTGCAGAACAGAGGAGGAGGACCGAGTGAACGCCACTGCGATCAGCCCCGGTGTGGAGGACTTTGCTGCGGATGATGTCATATGCCCCCTTGGGACAACTAAGAGCACATTTGACGTTCGGTGTTGTGATGATTGCACTGCCTAGTGAGCGAGGTGCGTCCTTAGGGCTCGGGAGTCCTTGTCCTGGTCGCCAAATTCACCTGTGCCACTCACAGCCTTGTCTGTGGGACTCCACAGGAACAGCCTGTGCTCCTCAATGGCCCTTGAAAAGCACTGTTTTCTTTTGGTTCAAGGGCATGATATTGGGGCCGTCTGCGGATCACAGCTGGTGCGCCCTGTGTGCAAGTGTCTACGTCATTGTCCTGAGCTGTGTTCCATGATGAGCGATGAGTGGTCAGGCGCTCAGATAGCAAACATTCTGGCAGGTGCATTGCAGTCTCACACCTAGTGCATCGGGTCGCTTCGTTTGGTTGCGCTTCTGTAGATCCTAACACTGTCAATTCCTCTCTGCTTCAGAGCCAGAGGAGAGGGATCCACTTATTGCCTCGTTCCCTTTCGGAAATGGGCAGGTAGCGTCGATGACAAAAGCGAGGGCCAGAAAGCCAAGGTCATTTTTGCTCTGTTGCGTCAGGGCACAAGCAACTTACCATGATTTTTTTGTAAAAGAGAAGGGAGCCTGCACCCTTCTTGCCAGCAGTGGAAACGGAGGGAAGCGAAAGACTGCGTGCAAGGCGTGTGTGACTTGCAGAGATTGGCCCCTTCTCCCACTATGGCCCATGATTGTTGCAAGGGTAGAGTTGCACATAGAAGCGTGGGGCGCTGTGGGGGCTGTCCGCATTTTCTGCCACAAGATTGCTGCACCTTCTGTGAACCTGTGTGCGCAAGCTGGCCGAATATACGTCCCCGAGACTGCTGTCGTTTTTTCCTTTGAACGGGGTCGTGTCGTGTTGAAGGATCGGCAGCGCTGTCCACCAGAATTTTGCTTGAGGAAATGCCAGTTGGGACCTTGTCACGGGCCCTGCCCCCTTGTTGAACGAACGTGTCCAGTGCAGGAACGCAGAAAAACGCACAACGGTTTTGGCACGCGCGCAGATTCCAGCTGAACAAGCAGCATCAGGTCTGCTGGCGGTCTACAAGTACCTCACCCAGCATGGCGAAAAGCACACCTCCCTTACCTGTAGACCTGATGCGAGCCACTTGCGGGGCCGCTGCACAGCTTGCGGCGGCATCGGGAAAGCGTCGGCCCTTCGTCCGCACCCCTGCACTCCCCATCACTTCTTCACTGGCCCGCGGCGCAGCTTACATTTCAAAAGCAGCCGCGGCGACCACGAGAGCGGCACTGGCAGCGTGGGCGCGCCAGAGGCTCTTTTCCACGTGCAGCAAAACTGAGTGGTTCTCGGGAGGTCGTAGTCGAACGCCCTCTTTCGTCGGGAAACATAGGCCACTGTGCGTATAGCCGGCCCTGCAATGCCGCCGACTCCCGCTTGCAGCGGGCCTGCCTCTCTGCAGGGTCTACGCCGCGGCCGCGGGACGAACACGGAAGTCCGCTGGCGCTGGAGTGGGCGTCCCAAGGTGCGGTACAAGCCGATGCCAGGCCCGACAGTCGCCGCAGCGGGTAATCCCGCGTTACGTATACATGAATTAGGCATGTGTGAATTACGCGATGATTAGTGCATACGTGTTACTGGGCATTACTGTACGATGTTAAAACCTTCCGCATAACAACTTAGCGCTTGGTCTTGTTTTGCGGAGAAAATACTGTAAATAATAACGCAAATCTTGGCCTTTCTGTGCTGGGCAACGTAAAAAAATAGAAATAACGCTCTGAAAGGAAAAATGCGGAGTAAAAAGCGCAATGGTGAAATTTTCTGATGCGGAAGGGTTGAATATTTTATAGCAGGCATGGCCCTGCGTTTCCATATTGCGTTATTCTGGCAAGTACGATTGACAATGGCGACGGTCGTCTGCGTTCTTGTTTTCAGTGGGATCTGGCGAATAAATCAACCTATTTGCCAAATCCCGTTGAAAACAAGAACGTAGACGACCGTCGCCATCGTCAATCATACTTGCCAGAATAATCGACTAGCAATGGCAGGCCATGAGGGAAACCCCATGGACGCGGTCAATCAAAATGTTGCGGGGATCTGAAACTTAAGCTTGAGCTTTAACTTCAAGGAAATTTAGGCCGGAGACGTTCTGGACATCTTCTTAATGTTTGTCGAATTTCTGGCTACTAAGCAGTTTCTAGCCCCACTATTTGACATTTGGCGCGCCAGAACTGACATAATGCCACTCCTTTCGTAATACAAAAGCAAGCACACGAGCAAAGCGATACTACATACAATAGATATTATCTTGCTCACCGCTCGCCTTTGCTCACCATATCATAACAGCACAATTGGCGCTTTTCAACTCTGCAACCAGGCAGGCATTGCCCTTAAGATGTGTGATGCCATGGACGACCTCCGTTGGGTACGCTGAGACGGTCCAGTCGCGGCTCCGGCCGCCGCTGCCGTCCACTGCGATGGCCATCCACATATGCATAAATGTGCCCCAAGACAAACACAATGCGCGACCCACCACACACACACACACATGGCCCCGCATGCGGGCCCAGGCACAGCAAGTGCTGGCAGATTGCTTGCTCCCCGCAAGTCCTAGCGAGCAAGTCGCTCGATCCAACCTGGCCGCTCGGCAGGATGCAGAGCACCTGAAAAGAAGCCAACGACCTCCAAGAACAACCCTTCAAGAAAATCGAAGCAAAACCACACCACCGAAAGTCCAAAATGCAGTTTTTTTCTTAAATTCCAAATGTGTTATACTAAGATACGAACAGAGGATCTCCCAAATGCAGGGTTGAATCGACAGCGCCATGCACGCCATGCACTACCCCGAGCCGTTCCGGAACAACGTAATATGACCAGCGTTCCTTCATCGTCCGCCACAATCAGCCGAACTCAGATCCGCCCGATGTCGCGCCTGCTCACCGGCCCAGCGCTCCCGTCGCTTCGCCGGTCTCCACGTCGGCCCCCACACTGCCCGAGAACCCAAAAGTGCTCCGCACAGCCCACTTGCAGCCCAGGCACGGCTTCCCTCGATCCCTCCCAGACATCCCCCCCCCCGGCCCCCGTGTACTGCGGCCATGCGGCGCCTGGGATCCCGGGGCCCGCGCCTGGCCCCCCTCCCCCTCCTGCTGCTGCTGCTTGCGGCCTGCTGCGTCCGCTGCGACGAGCTGGACGACCTGATCGGCAGCGTGGAGGCGGTGGTGGACGAGGTGGCAGCGAGGGCGTCGGGGTTGTTCAAGGGGCGGTTCCCGGAGGTGGGCAAGTGCGCGTGCACGCAGCACGCCTGCGCCAACGACTTCGATGCCAGTGACAAGTGCCACGAGGAGCTGGGCGGCGCCAGCATATGCAAGGACTGCCCGGGACAGAAGGTGCGGCTGCTGGGAGTGTCGTGCGCGCGTGTGTGCGGGGGGGAAGCACACCCTTACGCGTTGTTGCAGAGAGAAACCGATGCAGCCCATGTTATACAGGTCATTCAAAGGGCGCCCCCCTACTTTTAAGTGTGCTTGAGACTCTTTCCATCCGGTGAAAAGATAGTGTGAAGTCTGCGGTGCAACAAAGGTGGTGGTGGTGGGGACGCGCGGGGAGTGGAGCGGTACCGCTGGGTGTTGACGGGCGGGAGGGCGTGGATTTGCGAGGCGGAGTGGGGGCAATTGGTGAGATGAGTGGGCGCGGGGCGACGGAGAAATCCGGGTCGATCGCGGCGGTGAGCCCGGCGCATTCGGCTGGAGTCGGGATGATTAATAGTCCATCGCGCGGGGTGGGCGATTATCAGGAAGGCTGGGACGGGTGCGTGCCGGGGCGCAGGGTAGTCGGCGGCGTGGATACTGCTCGGGGAATGCAGTCTGCTGCGTCGTGCCAACGGATGGCGCGTTTGGCTTACAGCGATCCGCACGGCCGGATGCTTGTGGGGGGTGCGCGTGCATATGACGTCCCTGGGACGACGCGCCCGCTGCAGCCTCGGGTCGCCCTTTCGCTCCGAATCCAGGAGATGCGACCTGGTCCCGGCGCTCTGCGTTTCAATCTCTGTTCACCTGCCTCAGAGCCGCTTAGGATGGGCTGGTGGGCCGATGGGCGTCGTCGTTGCGACGAACGGTCCCAGTGGGAGTCTCGTCTCCCAATGGTCCGGTTTGAGCGGTCGTGGCCGCCCAGCGGCTCGATGGCTTGAAGGCCGCTCGCGAGCGCCGCGGCCTCAAGGGCCGATGTTGATGCCGGGGAGCTGGCGGGGAACCGCTGCCGACAGGCGCGGCGCCGGTGGTCGCGGAGAAAAGGGCGGGCGGGAGAGCGCCCCCGGTCGCCAGCCAGGGCTGCCCACCCTGTGGACACGCTGGAAGGCCCTGCGGTGGCCATGGTTGTGTGAGATGTGGGGCGTGGCGCGCCAATCACGGCAGGCGACCGGCCACATCGGATCCTGACCTCAGAGGCCAGTGTGGTAGGAAGGAGGCGTGGCCAAGTGGAAGTGACAGGCCACGGTCGCAGGGCGAGCAAGCCAAACTGGGAAGGGGTTGGGGGGGGTGCGGATACGGGTGCGGCCATCTGCAGATTTGTGGCCAGGAGACTCGAGTCCCCGTATCCAGTAGGTCGAGCGAGTTCGCGTATCGTTTCAGAAAGCGCGCTTTCGTTCGACTACGTGATCGGCAACCATGCCGCTGTGCCACTGTCAAATCTCCTTCCACCACGACTGACGGCTCCCCGACTTTCTGCGCTATGGGATCCTTGATTTACTGACGAATGTCCACAGCGACCCATCCACGTATATTTAACCCCGCACCAAATAAAAATATTGAATCTGGTACCAAACTGCCCCCGCACCAAATAAAAATATTGAATCTGGTACCAAACTGCCCCCGCACCAAATAAAAATTGAAAACAGTACCAACGCACATTGAATCTGGTACCAAATTCGCACGGGTGCCAGAAATGTTGAACAGTGCACCAAAAAATGTTGAGCCCTGTGTCACCTGGTCATCGAATGCAGCCTGTGACCAGCACTCGGCTTGCACTTGGTTGGTTGGTTTAGGGTTTAGGAGCCATGCATGGTGGCCACGAATTGATGACTAACTGGTACTGGGTTCAACATTTTTTGGTGCACCTTTCAAAATTTCAGGTACCGGTGCAAATTTGGTATCAGATTCATTGTGCATTGGCACTGGTTTCAGATTTATTTGGTACGACGGCAATTTGGTGCCAGATTCTATATTATTTGATGTTAGTTTCAATTTTATTTGGTACGGCGACAGCTTGGTATCAGATTCAATATTATTTTGTACGGAGTTAAATAGGTTCTAGTAACAACTCCTGTTGTGGGGAGGGGAATCAGTGCATGTACGAGCTGTTGGTGTCGAAGGCTCCTGCAGAAACTCTCGTAGAGCATCTTTGTCGATGGGTGCTACTGTCCTGGCAGTGGTCATCTGAATAATCAGCGTTGGCAGCTGGGGGAGCAATGACACCCCGATGGTATTTGATGTTTGCTGTTTGGTATTTGGCCCCGAATGGCACCGCTGGCAGCCAAAGTGTGCCCCAGAATAGCACCTGATGTTATTCGTGCTCAGCATCATAGTGGTGTCTTGGAGCGGCTCCGGTAATGTTCGACCAATGTTTGCTCGCTGACCCACTGTCATGGATGCACACAAGGGAGTGTGAGGATCGGTGCTATTCGGCAAATGCTGCCTTAATAAGGTAGCACCACAGCCAGTGAGATTCGTATCTGGCTAGCACTGTGGGTGCAATATCACCCAGTGTTAAAGATGCTCTTAGCGGTGCTCAAGTATGGCACGTTTCAGGGTTTGTGCTCACAGCATCCCTGATGGGATGATGGTTCTGTTCTTTTTATGGTAACTACCAGCCAGTATGTTTGCGATGAACAAAACAGGCAGGGTGGTGGAGTCTTTGGCCACAGGTTGATTGCTGAACAGGAATTGGAGTAGAGGAGGTTTTATGCTGCACTACTGGTCCTCAGAGGGCCACAATGCTTGCCCTCTATGTGTGGCACTGTGTTGTGCAGAAGCGAACTGGTTGCATTGCCATTCTGTGGCTCCCAAAGGGTAGCAGTCGCCACTGGGTTGGCAACTGAGCAGATCATTTGTGTTGTGCTGCAGCTGGACTTCACCAAGAGTTTTGTGTTGACGCCTCCGCTCACAGACCTGGAGAGCCTGGGAGACAGTCTAAAGGACTCTATCTGCACCTTTAGGGTGGGTTCCTTCAGTTGTCCCGTGTTGAAGCTATGCAGGGAAATCTCCTGTGTGCAATTCTTCCCTGCCTGTTTGACTTGCAGCACTTGACAGAATCCAGAATCAGCTGGACTGTCAGTGTGGTCCTTACACAGAGGTAGGAATAGTTGACCAACTCTGTCCATGTGGGGCTGATCCAATGCTGCTTCTGCACCCCTTTGTCTGATAACCAATCGATTACAGGGTAGCTGGAAAGTGGCGTCTTCCACTATTTGGACATTTCTGATCTGGATGCATAACAATATTATTCCATTTTGTTATTTGGTGGTATCCCTCATTAATAGCCCTCGTGTGTACTGGCTCGTGTGTGCCCTTGCTTTTGGGCGACACACGTCCGTGGAGCATGCAGTTTCTGGCTGCTCACGAGTGTGGTGTGCTGACCAGGGCATGGATGACGTCTTTGCCAATGCCACAGATGAGTTTGGAGTCAGAGCTTGGACTTATGTTGCAACCACCAATGGTGTTATGAGGTGCGTTTGTCCCTTGTCTCACAGCCTTGGTGGCAAGGAAGGTAAGGGAGGAGAGATCACCCCTGTCTTGGTGAGGATCCATGGCAGCGCTTTTGAGCCAAGATTGTAAGCAGGCATAGCTGCGTGCACACAAAACTGGGAGGTGCTTGTGTATGTTTACAATATAATACCCTAAAAATAACAGAGATAGGATGAGTTCAATATGACAGGTTTTTGTGGTATTGATTGTGCAACAATCGACCTTCCTGCAAGGCAGCAACCCTAAAGTACAGTGTCCTTTGTCCTCTGGGCAGATCTTTGTCAGAATGGTGGTGATTTACAAGAATTGGGAAGTCAAACACCTGCTTGTGGATGTGTCCCTTTTCATGCATAAATCGTCCAATGCTGTGTGCACTTCACTTCAGTAAAGAATGACCATGTGTGTTGTTGTCCATACTGCAGGTCATGGCCAGGCCATGCCATGGAGCGCGGGGAAGACGTTCCTGCTGGGGAGGGTGAGGAAGATCTTGGAAATTGTCAATCCTACGATCCGGTGAGTGCACGTTGCTTGCACTGTTTTTGCTCAGTTGACATTTGCAGCTCGACCCCAATTGGCAGTGTGATTTTCGCCCCATGCATTGGACCATCCTCTCCAGACAGGAGCACATTGGTCTCCCGATTTGTAACAGTACAGGAGCCATGACAACAAGGATGATACAGTTGCAAGGGGCATGCACAAAAGGAGCAACATGTGACATCCACAGGCTTGGAGAGATTCGTCAGCATTTGTTCGCAGTGGCAGTCACACATGCATGCATTTTGTGTTGTTATTTTCTCTGATCCCTGCAAAGCGAGTCAGATGAGTACAGCAAGTGCAGCTTTGTGATTGTCCAGGATTAGACTGACGCCCGCTGTGTTGTGTCAAGCGCCTTCGTCCATGGTATGTTGCAGCAACGAGTGGGCCAAAAGATGTTGTTATGGTAATTGACACATCAGGTGGGCGGCACTTTGCGAATTCCTTCAGAAACACAACATGCTCCTGCATTGGTCATTGCCATATCGATGTTGGATGTTGTGCTTTAATACAGTGGACACTGAAAAATGCCTGTTGCGAAGATGCATTTGCATTGATAATTTTGCATTTTCCATATACTTGTGTCAAAGATGGTGACTGACCCTGTGGATATATGTGTTTGAGGTCGAATTCCGGGTAGCAACGTTTTGGACATTCCAAAATTTCTTCTACATTCACATTTGGAATTGTTGTAGCACCTTCACACACACTTCAGAAATCACAACAGAGCCAACGAAGGCGGAGAGGCATTAAATATAGCCGAACATTGTTGTGCTTGAGCCATGCACAATGCTTGACATATCTCACATATTGGTGCTCTCAACACACACAGGTTCACGAGTTGCTGTTCTGTTGTTTCACAGGGAGTATGCTTACAGCCGATGGTGAGCTTTTTGGTGATTTCCGATCGCGGTGGGAGATAACCAAAGAGGCACTTCTTGCTCTTCTGGGAACTTTTGGCATTTCTGACTACATTAACCTGGTGGAGTTCAATGATGAGGTTAAAGTGCTTGCCACCGGCAAACTGCTGCAAGCCAAAGAAGATGAAATTGCCCTTCTGAGGGATGAAGTGCAAACCATAGAGCCTCTGGGAGGAACAGACTTCCGATTGGGGCTGGAGGCTGCCTTCGACCTCCTCATCAATGCAACAACCAGAAGCATCGAAGATGAGGAGCCCACCAGCTCGCGCTGCCAGAAGGTTGACAATTACTATGGCCCATGTGTCATGTTGTTTTCGTTGGACTGATGCAGCACAGTCCAATTTCTTGACATCCATTGCTGTAGGAATGATTGTTTCTTGTGTGTGTCTGTCCAGTAGTCCCTCTGCATGCCATTTACTTTGGTTGCAGAAGCGTTGCACATTTGTAAAACCTTGCTGCGAATCTCAAGCACTCACCTTTGCACCTGCCAATACCCGCCACGGGCTGCTGACAGCCAGGCTCTGGGATGACAGTCAGTTGTTGTGCGCAGGTGATTCTGTTTCTGACAGACGGCGAGGACTGTACGGTATCTGATTCCAAGTGCTCGATGCCAGTACTCGCCAATGAAACTGGGGTCGACTCTGTGCTGAACTTCATCGAAAAGAAGCAGACTGAGCTGGAGGCTTTGGGCAGCCAGAGGGCGCACCTGTTCACCTTCTCTTTTGGATTGGAGGCGGACGATGAGATACCAAAGGAGATGGCGTGTGCACACGAAGGAGTCTGGAATCGCATTCTTTGTAAGTGGCTGCACTCACCACTCCAGGGACACAGATGCAGTGATGGTCAGACTGTGGTGCACTTTGCTTTGGGCACACTGTGCAAGTGGTATTGCATTCAAGTAGCCAATGAAGAGCGCCCCTAAGGGGTTGTCAAACTGCACTTAAGGCTGTGATCTTTCACGTAGATGATAATAATAACATTCCTTTCCACATGAACATTGAAGCATTGCGTTTGTCTCAATGTGGCAGCTGACGATGACCCATTGGTGGCCCTGAATGCCTACACATCATACCTGGCATCCAGAAGAGGCGATGCCAATGTGATTTGGTCTCGAACCTATGATGACGCTTTTGGCTTGGGTACCGTCGTCACTGCTGCCAAGCCCATATATGGGCCCACAACATCAAAAGGGGAACAGGGTGGCTTGATCGGCGTGGTGGGCCATGACGTGAGGATTGAAGATTTCACTGCAAAGGCCCCAGGTTTCCAGGTTGTAATTAGTCGATTTATTTCGCGAGGTGTGCAGTGCATTCCAATCGAATTCTCAGGCTGCGAGCTGCAGGTAGGAATTTTCACAGCCAGCTGCCAGATAGGAAAAGTATCTGGTGCATTGTGGCTTGTGTCCTCAAGTGTTTACCTGACATGCAATATGCACAGCTTGCTTTTGGCTTGTCTTAGGCAGGACTGCTTGTTCATTCGGTTAGAGCTGAACTGCCTTTTGTCTTGTTGTTTGGTGGCCAGCTCCAACAGTGATTGATTGTTTTCCTGTTAGAGGACAGTGTCTGAGGTTTTGTGCTTGAAATTTGTGCCAGCTGCTGAGGGGAGAGGAGGCAGAGTGTCCAGAGATTTTTGACGATGCGAAATGCTACTTCTTTGCGGCAACTGGTGACTACTACATGGCACCAAAGATGCCGCTGCTGAACTACGTCGAAGCCAAGGCGTTCTGTGAGGATCAAGGAGGCTTCCTTGCCGAAATTGATGAGGAGCTTGAGGAGAACCTTATGGCTGGAATAGCCTCCAATGCTGGGTCGTGGGTGGGCCTGACATTCAACAATTCAGAATGGAAATGGGAACAGAGTGGCCGAGTCGAAGATTCCAGGTCGGATATCTGGACTGTCCTCAGCGACACATCAGGCAGAGGTGGAGAGACGTGTGCTGTCATTGATCGGCGTGGGGTGGTACAGAATGTCCACCCGAAGAAGTGCCAAGACAAGGCACGCTTCATCTGTGAGTTTGTGGGCCCAGGACTGCCCAAAGGATGCAAGGCAAGTAAAGCAAGTTTAGGGCAGTTGTGTCAATTCAGCCTCTGCACATGGTCCGCTTTTCATTGCTGTGGATAAAACACTGGTGATTGGTAACCTGCCTGTAGGCCAACGAAGTTCTAGATGCTGAAAGCTCGTGGCACTGAGGATGCTAACTGCTTATTGTACTGTTCTGGTCCTGTGAACTGGGTATTGGTGGTAAAGAGAGTTATGGTGCCACAGAGGGAAAACATCCCAGCATCACTTCACAGAGTCAGGTGGGTAATGTTCGAAATGCTGTAGCCACTGGTTGACTATGAGAACTTGTCTAGATTCTCCGGCTTACCAAGTCTAGCAGAAGTCCAGACATTGCAACAGACTACGTCGGCGTCCCCTCTGGCGCCCCATCTACCAATTCCAATGGTCAGCGTGTTCAGCTCGCTGGGTTTTGGGACGTCAGTATCTGGCGAGAAGCACCACATTGCGCTCCAATTGTGCTGTACCGAACCTTGTATCTGCACAGGTGAGGGTGTTCCACGGCCAGCCCTTTCCCGGTGTTGAATATGACCCCGTTGTGTGTTTTTGCCAAAATAGGAGGGTGATACAATTAGAGTGAATGACGACTATGAATACAACGTGCGACCGCTGTCCACCTGCCGCCCAGAGGAGGAGAGCCTCAGAGATGCGACGGCGATCAGCCCAGCAGCCAAGGGCTTGACGAAGGATCAGGTCATCTGCCCCTTTGGGGAGCCGAAGTCCACATTTGAAGTTCGGTGCTGTAAAGACTGCAAACTCTAGTTTGGCAGGTGAGCGGCGGTATCGATTACAAGCGCCCAAAAAGAGCCAGGCAGGGAGCCGCCTTGCTATCCATTGCCTTTGTTGTCGCACAGGCAACCCGCTGTCGAAAACATTACCAGCTCCATCCCCTGGTGTCTCCACTGTTTACTCTGCACTTGCGGCTGCAGACCTAGACTCATTCACCGGGACGATGTTGCAGCGTCTGATTCCATGCACCGCCGAAGCGGGGAACCGCGAGCATCCGTCGGTCCAGCCGCCTCTGGCGTTCCCGGCCCCGGCCTGTCGAGTATTGCCCGGAGCGAAATGCCGATTCGCGTCTCGCCATCGAAAACGCCGATTGCCCGGCCCGTCGCCAGTCCGCAGCAGTTCGCGATAAAGAAATGAAGCGGCACCAGTTTAACGTCAAACGTCGACGCCTGAAGGGCGAGGTGTTGAATACGGGAGGGTAATTGAAGCCCCTCTCTGCCAGTGCGGGATGCGCCAATGTGTGGAGAACGGTGTGCTTCTTTGCTCCACAGACGCCTTCAATTTTTCTCGATTGGGGCCGATTATTGCAGGTTGGAGCTGTCGTGGGGTCGGCGGTTTTGGCGTTGTTCGTGGATTTGGCATGCGCCCCAGAAGACCAGTTTGCGGAGTTCCTTTATTTTTGATGGTTGGAGTGCGATTTTAATTTCTTGCAACAGTTTGTGCCGATGCCAGTGAATTCGCTCCAGAACATAGACCTGTCCGGACATACGCCAACTCGGATTGTTTCACCTCCGCGCCAGCAGCGTGCATTTCTGGAGGGGACATGGGGCTGGATCCACACTTACCGAGCCATGTTGCGCATTTCTGCACAGCGACGAATCGCTTGGCCCTATTTGCCGAGCATGCACAGCGTAAAACCGGGTCCCGAGAGAAGTGCGGAGAAGAACATGGACGCCAGATCATCCTGCGGGTATCAGCAACCCCAGAAGGGTCAGTACGACTGCCTCCGCATCCCAACTCCACACTCGTGCAACCTTTGGCGTTGACGGTGGTGGTATTTAAAGTCTTGAGGTCAACAGCATCGAGGCAGCCCCACAGGAATGTGTGCTCGCCACCGCAAAACAAGGATGCAGCGATCGCCGTTTCGTGGGAATAGGGGGGCCTCCCATGCGTTCATGGGTTCCCTTGTGTGGGACGTTGTGGGCGGATGCCGATCTTGGGACACCATCCAGTGAATGCACTGCTCTGCTACCCCACTGCGCTCCATGGCGATGGGCGTGAGTCTGTGTGTGGCATCCCGCGATGCCGTAACGTAAGTGGAAGGCGTTCAGATCGATATAGTGCGACACTGTTCACACTGGCTACATCAGCGCACTTGGTGGCCCGTGTTGTGCAAGCGTTACTGTGTAAGCATCACATGCCAAGAAAACACGCTCTTGCTTTTCCTTGTGGTGCATCTTCAAGTATTGTGACTGCACCAGATGTCCCAGGTTGGACTGAAACCCGTGGAGGGAATGTGCAAACCGCCACTGCGCAGGTCGGCCCTGCACGGTGATGACTAGTGAATGCGCATACGTATGCCCCATGTCACATTTTTCCGCATTTTCCGCTATGTCCAACATATTTTCAAATTTGCGTGAGATGCAAGCACTACCTGTGATATACTTCCTCCGTTCCATATTAATTGTCGTCTTTTTTAAGAGAGAAATCTCGTCATGAAAACGGTATGTAAATTGAAAATGGAGGCCAGAATCAGAATGACTGGGTCTCAAAACACTTAGGATCGAATTTTCAGGAAAAAACATTTAGTCCTCACCCCTGTGAGCTGCCCCCCCAAACCGCATTGACAAGGTCCCAAAATTGCACTTTCAATTTCCGCGGTCTTGCAGACACCCGCGGTTTTGGGCCTCTCCCATGCCTGGGAACTGCAACGCCAGTGGTTGCCACCATTGCGGCAAAGGATGGGGTCTGGCACATGGCATAGCACTTGCCGAACACACTCGAACGTGCTTTTATCCTTGTCTTAAGTGGCCATCGTTGTAGTGTAAACAATGCCAGAAATCGCCACTTTTCTCGATCTCCGATGGGCAGGCCTCCAAGGAGCGGAAAGGCTAGCGTATACAACCTTGAAGCCTAGGTTCAGTGCGTGCTGCCGCTCCAAGGTTGTTTGGTAGCCTTGCTTGGATATTTCGCTTTAGTTGATGCTTGAATTGGGGCTTGTGTGGGCCACTAAGCTGGAAGTCCCAAAGCCGCCATTGCTTGTGGATACAATGACCAATGCTTGTGCGGGGTACACAATCCATTGGAACCTAGCAAGCCTCCATCACTCCAAAAGACCCGAATTCACTTTTGTGGCCATTCTCCTTGCACCCAATCCTCTGAAGTTCCGAAACATGTACAAATCGCCATTCCCGTGGCAATTGCCAATTCACTAATTGTTCATGCTATATCGGGGTGATAGCCATCACCATCTCTAGCTCCTTGGTAAAAGGATTGGGAGACCTTTCTCAATTGCCTTGACTGTGGAAAAGGAGCTCAAAAAGCCCTAACCAAAAAATCTGGTTCCGGAACATCACTCCGATCCACCAGATCAAGCCTGAATTGATGCAGCGAGCCATGGCAAGTTCGACGATCAATGCATTCGAAATGCGTTTTTTATTGCAGTACCTCTTTGCAAGCACACTAGTGACCTCCACTTTGAATGGCATGAGTAGTTTTGCAAGGACGGGTTTGTTTCGTTACCACGAAGGAGTGCTCCTCAAACAGCCAAAAATGGTTGTTTTTGGGTGCGGTGTCCCAAAACGACCCTTTTATGGCCAAAGAACCCTTGCTACAAAGTATTGCCAAATCCTGAAAACTTAATGGATCGACTTGAAATTTTGATAGTACACTCCAACATCCCAAGCGCAGCTTTGGGGTAAATTTAATTGAAAACTAACGTAGGCACAATGGAGAAATAACGCCTCAAAATCATAGACGACAGTTAATATGGGGCGGAGGAAGTAGTTTCCCAAAGAGCAGCTTGACAGGAAGTTGCGTCGCGTTGGCTGATGGGCACATTACTAGAATGACGATGCACAAGAAGCATTGCCACTCTTCGCCAGAATGCCGCATATGCGACTGTTGCATCAACATCAACCAAGATTGCCTCCGAAATGACAAAGACCGAACCACGGAACTCGGGCCCACACAAGGGTCGTGGATATGCGATCGGAATTCGCAGCTCTCTGCCATAGATAATTTGTGTTTCAATCCCCGCATTTTCTGTGGCCAGCTAGGTAATACCTGTTGTTCGTGCATAGCATGCACCAACAACATGTACATACTACATTCCTGTAGGTCACACATATACTGGTACCATATGTGTTAAAGGCTTCTTTCTCATGCATTGAAGCTAAGGCAGACTCGATCTGCCTTAGCATGGCAACGAGTCGAAGGTACGAGCGGCCGCAATGGCAGCTCAGTGCAGGGTTATCCCAGCACGGCCATAGCCAGTGGCATGCCACTGTTAATGCCATGTTGGCATGCCAGCTGTTAATGCGCACCAACAGTTGAATGTTGCCAAGCACTGGAAGCACTGGCGTTTGCTCGTGCGCCTGGCTGGTGACCGTACACGCGCCCATCGTATCGGGCCATTACCCGGGCGTCGTCAATGTAAATGACGGGGGTCGGGTCGGATTTAACGTAAGCCAAACGATATTGCTGGCATCAAACTGGGCCATTCCGGTCCACGTGGGCACCCACGAACCCACTGCTGCCAATTGCCATTCACCAATGTGTCGGTGTCACATGGCCACGTTTGGTGTCACGTGGCCTTTTGCCCTCGCAGGGCAAGGCCCCGCTCGCCTCCACCGCACGGACTGCGGCCCCTGAAGCAAAGAGTGATGTCGTTCTGTCAGTGACCAATCGCCGCCCCAGTCACCTCAGGATCGATGACGTAGTACCTTGCTCCGAGCGGCGGACGCCACATCAACCGCAATAATCGCTCCCAGACAACCAGCGTGTGCGCCACAGACCCCACCCTTGCACCTCTGCCACGGGCAGCGAGGAGCGCGATGGGGCGCCCCGATGCGCGCTACGCCTGCGCGGTGGCCCTCCTGATCCTTCTGCAGCCACGCGTGGTCCTCGGCGACGCCCTGGACGACCTCATCGGCAGCGTGGAGGACGTGGTGAATCAGGTCGCCGATCGCGCGACGGAGGCGTTCAGGACGCGGTTCCCCGCCGTGGCGGCGTGCGAGTGCTCCCGCCACGCGTGCGACGGCGACTTGGGCGCAAGCAGCACGTGCCGCCAAGAGCTCGGGGACTCGGAGCTGTGTCCCGGATGCACGGGACAGAAGGTGGGCGGCCATGGCGAGCTATCATATGGGTGCGCCCCTTCGCCGCGATCGCGCGATCTGTATGAGTTGGGTGTTGCGCGCCATTTGCCTTCATTGCTTTTCCCGGGGGGGGGGGAGTCAATGCTTTTTGATTTGCTTGCCGCCGCCTAAGGTCGCTTGTGGACGACCGGACTGGGCCCGCGGTGTTGATGCGTGCCCAGGTTGTGGGTGCCTCGGTCGGGGCAAAAAATATGGTGGACAAATCTTGGGGTGGTTCACACAGCGGGGCGAGGCTAAGATCGTGCTTGTGGGCTCCTTGCGCTCTGTGGATGCCGTCTTGGGCCGCCATTGACTTTTTGTCGTCGTGGACGTGTGGCAGCGGTTGAAGGGCAATACGTGACACATTATTTGTCTAAAGTACTGGCGCTTGCGCTTGCGCTTGTGCTCCGGTCTTGGGCCACTGCTGCGGCAACACAGCGACTTGGTCTCTGTTTTGTACGATGCAGCAGGTGAATTTTACACAGCAATCGCCCTTGAAAATCGTTGGGCGAGGTAACGCAACGAGGGATCCTCTTGAAAGTGCACAGAAGTATTGCGCCGCTCCAGAGAGCGAAGGACGGCTGCTGGCATGGCGGTGTTTGCTGAACGCTGCTTGGCGCCTGTTACCTGTTCACCTTTAAGGGTGCTCGCGGAAATGCAAGAAGCACAGTGCGTGGGCTGCTCGTTTGCCAGAACGATCTGCTGGCTGTCCGAAATGACTGCGCTAAAAGGGGCGCTTGCGTCTATGACAAGACTATCCTCCAACGAATGACGCGCTTCTGGAATTCATGGTGGACTTTGTGGGGCAGCATCGGTCTCCTTACGCAGGCCTCGAAATCGGCGAGCAGCCTTTTTCAAGTTCAGCTTTCATTCGTTGTACGGAAGCCGTCAGTTATCCGCCAGTCGTGGAGGCTGTTCGTGTCGGCCTCAATCCGAGCAATCTTTAGACAGGTCGTTCGGATTTAGACCGACGCTGAAGGTCGCCGGCAATGATCTTGTGACATATGGATTGGTGATCTGGACGGGTAGCCCTGAAAGCGACAGATAAAGAGTCCAGGATTGCCGGTCTTGGCTTGGAAAGACTTAGAACCGTCTACGTTTGTGTGCAGACAACCGAGCTGCCAATTTCTTGTGACCACCCGTGCGTGAAGTGTGCCTTGCTAACGGTGCAAAAGCGATGCAAACGTGGTGTCTGTCGCGGAGAACTTGGGACGGGCAGTTGCTGCCAGGTCGACAGCGCACTGCCCCTCCCTGGGCAAGCGCAACGCCGGCGGTGGCTCGGCGGCTTGAGCTGCTCAAAGCGCCGAGCACATGGCGGATACTGCCCAGGTCGCAGTATTCTGTGAACGTAGGCAGATATGGTCCTGGTTCTGGCACTTCAACCTGGGAGACGGCTGCGACACGCCGTAGCTGTCGACCCTCAGAACGCTGCTTACGTCACTGCGATCGCTGCTTAAGAACACTTTCGCGAAACTGGAGCTAGGGCGGTCGTTGCTCAGTTTCAGCGTGAACTGTCAATTGGCTCTCTCATTTCTGTTTGTGAGAAAATTGCGAATGCGATTCATGGCCCCCGTCGACATCCAGCCGACGTCGACCCGTGGCCTTGGCCCAAGCGTGCAAGCCCTGTAGCTTTGTAATTTTGTGTCAACTCCTGCATTAAACCTGCACCATTAACGAATTTTCGGTTTGCACTGGAACCAAGTGATCGACAGGTATAGGCATACCCATGACAAACTATATCATTTTCTAGAAAATGCATTTGTTGTGCCGAGCTGATTTGTTTGGAATTTCGTGCTGGGCCCCAGAAGAAAACTTCCCTTTCCTCTTGACTGTTGCATTTGCTGCCCAGCTGGCACGGTGTCAGCAAGAAATCTCCAGAGGCAATGGATCTGTAAACGAATCAGGAAACAACGGCACTGAAGCTATGGATGAAGGGGCTGCTGTCTTGTTACCAAATTGCTGAGCCCACCATGCTTTTTTCAGCAGTAACTGTGTGTATTGTCGTTGTGCTGCAGATCGATTTCAACAATAGCTTTGTGTTGACACCCCCAAGCACAGATCCCAACAGACTAGAGCCTGGTGTGAAAGATTCAATCTGCACGTTTCGGGTAGGCCTTCCACCAGAAATTGTGTTTTCCGAAATCGACCTCTTGTCCAACAGCAGACCTGAGTGAAATCAGTTGCTGATCTCCATACCTGCTCCAGAGCATAGGTTTGGTGAACTACATACTGACATTTGATGCTCGTTTATATTCATACTTCATGGAAGACATCTTCCTCAAATGCATTCTGCCTGTTCCTCTACGATGTTTGTTGAACAGTTTGTGCCCTATGTGCCTATCACTCAATCACAGGCTGCACACCTGTTTAAGTGTCAATGAACTGTTTCCTGATCACTATGATCTTTGGGCACTACACACAAAACAAAGGCACTCATGTGCTACTTCAGGATGCTTCTCTGCAAGCTGCAGTCCCAGCAGGCAACTTAGTAGTGGCTTCAGTGTACTGATGTCTAACTACAAGCCATGGAGTTAGACTAAAGCCACTACTGTGCAGTGGCTACCGCACTGTCTGATAAGGCCATGACATCAGCATTGAGCCACACAGCGCATGCGCTCCATGGTTCCTGCGCAGTACGCTGCTGCTGTTGATTCACACCAGTTGGGTGCCTTGGCCAGGGCATGGATGATGTCTTTGCAGAAGCAAAAGATGAATTTGGGATAAGGGCCTGGACCTATATTGCCACAACAGATGGTGTCATGAGGTATGTCTACTCTGCTCTGCAATGATTGCCAATAATTGTGATTAGAGATGCACAGGCAGATGAAAAGAATCCAAAAACAACATTTGCGATGATGAAAGTTATTGTTGTGATGGGGAAAAACCTGCCAACAATGAGCACCCTTTGCTCCAGCGAGAATTGTGAAGAGAGGCTCCATTCTAAAGTTTTCTTTTTCGGAAAATATTCACAGTATTTAGAAATTTCCGAGCGCGATGGCAGTGAAGCGTGCAACAGCACCAAGAAAGTCACCAATTGACAATGGAGGTGAATCCGATGTAAAAATCAGTACGCAGTGAGGACAGTCTGTGTCATTCATTCAGGCAAATTTTGGCAACAGACAGTGTGGATGTCAAAGATCCCCCTTGCGGCCTTAATGCTACAAGCTTGTAGCATGGATTATGGATTCGATGCACTGTACAGATTTACACATGATGTTGGAAAGCAAGGGGGTGAGCACTTGTTGTCTTCATTCATTTTGTTAGCTGGAAAGTATTGCATCTTTGCCTCCTGTGAGTTGCTGTCACTCCAGCCTTTGGTCGGGAGCAAATTGGTCCAATCGTGGGCTGGTTTTCTGATGTGCATGTGGCGGCACGGGAAGCACAGCTGTCCATCACATCCCTTGCTGCCCCATGCTTACCGTGTAGTGCTGAGACTTAATGGACTCCCCTTTGTGCAGGACATGGCCAGGTCATGCAATGGAGCGTGGTGATGATGTCCCTTCTGGTGAACGCGAAGAGGAATTGGGAAACTGCAAGTCCTACGATCCGGTGAGCACAAGTTATCAAGCCATTCAGCTCCGTCTGTCTCTGGCATTGAAATACACTGCAAGTTTGTCACATGTACGGATTTTGCAGTTGCTTCTGATCACTCACGATAAACCACCCCTGATTCTCGCTTTGCTGTGCCTTGAAGCGCCTTCGTCCATGGTATGTTGCAGCCACCAGTGGGCCAAAAGATGTCGTTTTGGTGATTGACACATCAGGTGGGTGGGATTTTGTATCTGCTGTTATGGACTGCACTGACTGCACCTGCCAATAGACGCACATGATCCGTATTATTCATGATGGCATACCATCAGTTTGCATCTCTTCAAAACTTGTTGTGTTCAGTACGATGGTACATCATGGTGGTTGCATGATGAGCATACCTACAGCAGCAGTAAAGCCTGCACAACAGGTTAATGTTGCTGTCCCTTGTGTTTCCTGTGTTGTTCTTAGCAACAAATAAAGCATGCCACAATGCGGGTTTCAGTTGAAAAGCGATGCTGCAACATTGACTGGCAGAAGCCAAAAATTGGCTCCGTTGCTCATTTGAGCTTTTCATTCAATGGGCAATCAATTAAAACAATAACAAGATCGAAAGTGAAAATAGGAGTGTGTGCACATCCAATAAACATGCACTTCAAGTCTGCATGGGCTCACAGCCCGATTACTCTCGCTGCAGAACATGCGTTGTTCCATTTGATCCACAGCATCATTGTGCACTTTTTGTGCAATAAAATTCGAGGTCATTGTACCGGATGGGCTGCTGATTCAGTCGGTTGGCATAACCCACATTGTTCAGCTACTTGCATCACAGGCTACAGAACAAATTCCACTGGGTTTACAGTGCACGGGCTTTGGAATTGCTAAATGGGGCATTTCGTCCAGTCTCGCCACCAGCATTGGTACTGAGTTTCTTGCATGTCCCTTCGGATCGAACAGCCCAAATTCGTCAGTGGATCAGTCAGTACTGTGGACATTTCAGAAACATATTTTGATCGATGAAGTGACTTTGAATTCATTGCGCTGGCTGCATGGTGCACACTGCATATGTATTGGCTTTGGGGTGTTTGACAGGGAGCATGCTGACTGCTGATGGTGAACTTTTTGGAGATTTCCGGTCGCGGTGGCAGATAACCAAGGAAGCAATACTTGCCCTCTTGGGCACATTCGGCATTTCCGACTACATAAACCTGGTGGAGTTCAACAGCAAAGTCAAAGTGCTTGTTGCAGACAATCTGTTCCAAGCGAGAGAGCAAGAAATTGCCCTGCTCAGAGATGAAGTGGGGAACATTGAGCCTCTTGGAGGCACGGATTTCCGATTAGGAATGGAAGCTGGTTTTGACCTCCTTATCAACGCGACGAGGAGGAGCGTCGAAGATGAGGAGCCCACAAGCTCACGGTGCCAGAAGGTTTGCAAGCGCCAAATCCAACGGTGCCAGAGTACCGAAGTACAGCACTGCCGTTTACATCAACCACATAATCGTTTCCTCAGTGCATCAACGGCTAGGTTTCCAGTCAGTATTGCTAATTGAAATTGCAGTCACAGGTGTTTTTGACAACTTCAAAATGAGGCTGTGCCTGTGCAGGCATAGGGACGAAGCCTTAAACACAGCACCACAACAGGGATTTGCGGCGCCATCTATAATGTTGAAGTCGCCACCTGCCACACCTGGTGTGGCTTTCATATAGTCTTTATCTACTGCAGTAAGACTTTGGGCGCCCAAATGCCATACATTGACAGCCAGGCATACAGCTGTGTTGATATTAAATTGTCAAACAACGAATCGGTGACCCAAATCTCCACGTGTGTTTTGGCGTGGTGCTTATGCTGCAGGCCAGCTATAACATGCACACCAAGTTCTTCGAACCATGAATTTCAGCACATTCAAACCTGTTTGAATTAGGAAGCTGCGCCGGTCACATGGCTGTGTAGACAGCCATATGCTTCAGACACGAATAGGCTTCTGTTTACTGTGAACACAATCCAAATCCCAGACTACGCCATGTTTGGTGAAAATGCTCTGACACTTCGTGTTGTGTGACGAGGTAATCCTATTCCTCACAGATGGGGAGGACTGCACGACCACTGACTCCAAGTGCTCGATGCCAGTGGCTGAGAATGAAACTGGGGTGGACTCCGTGCTTCAGTTCATCGAAAAGAAGCAGACAGAGCTGGAGGCCGTGGGGAGCCAACGAGCCCACTTGTTCACATTTTCGTTCGGCTTTGAGGCAGACGATGAAATCCCCAAAGAGATGGCTTGCGCGAATGAGGGAGCATGGAGCCGCATTTTACGTAAGAGCTCCTGCGCACGCATTTTACACAAGAACCCCTCCACACACGACCAACGACCTTTGCCCATGCATGGGTGGCTGCACGGCAGTGGAAAAGAAACGAAGGCTTGTGGACAAGGGATTGGCAATCCTTGAAATGTTTGTTTCCTCATCCTTGTGTAGGCATAGTGATACCTGTGCGCTTGAGAAAACTCTTGTTCCTGATAACACGTTCATCAGGGCGTGTAAATTACAAGGATCGCATTATGTCGCTTGTGGATAAGCGCAGCCTGCTGAGCTCATACTGCATGATAGTTGAGAATGAATGAATGCAGTCTTCAGGGCTAAGTGAAAGTGCAACATATTGGCCACGCCATGTGTCGGCTGAAGTGTCCGTTGAGAAATTGCTGTACCATGTGTTGGCACAGGAATTCAGTACGTTCAGGCAGATTCCGTGAAACCACGAGAGCATAAAATCCTTGCGAGTGTTCTCTATGAAGAATAGCAGGGTTCATCCTTCAGACACATTCCCCGATACCTTTTTGTCCGCAGAGATGGGGCGACGGTGCTAAACGAATGAGAAATCCAGGTCCCACTTGCCGTGCGACATCGTGCTTGCACAGATGAATAAACAATTGTTCATTCTGGTGAGCAATGAAATTCGTGCAAATACAATACGTTTCCACTCATTTCTTCTGCCAAACCTATTCGAACAAAGCATCCAGCATGGCCTCTGTGTGCTTTCAGCGTGAGTCGTCGATAAGTTTTCAGGGAGATTTGTTTTGCCATGAAATCAGCTGTGTATGGACATCTCCTTGCCCACTAATCTGTGGCTGCTCGTCGACGTGTAGTCTTCATATGGATGCATGCAAACTCTATGGCGTCAGCCCACCAACACGCACTCCTGGACCTCCATCCTCTTGGCTCCCCAAGGGAGCGTGAATCTCAGAGACAAGAAGACTAGAAACCTGGTCAAATGCATGCTCACCCCCAATGTAGGCGCACCTACTTTAGGGTGCTCACATGGCATGTACGAATACAAAACTGTTCGGCGTTGCATCCTAACCGCATTACAGTGTCATGCGTTCAGTGCAGATGCTCTCCAATGAAGAGACCGAGCTAATGGCATGTGTTGTTGTGGCAGCCGGCGATGATCCGCTGGTCAAAATGAATGCGTACACATCATATTTGGCATCGAGGAGAGGACAGTCGGATGTGATTTGGTCGCGAACCTATGATGACGCCTTTGGCTTAGGCACCGTCGTAACAGCCGCCAAGCCGGTGTACAGTCCGATGACATCCACTGGCGAACAAGGAGGTCTTATCGGTGTGGTGGGGCACGATGTGAGGATTGAAGACTTCAACAAAAGGGCCCCAGGGTTCCAGGTGGTCATTGGGCGATTCATATCCCGAGGGGTGCAGTGCATTCCCATCGAATTCTCAGGGTGCGACCTTCAGGTAAGCATGTGCACAGCAGCCAGGCTTTCAGATCCCAACAGTCTCAGTGTGTTAACATTTTGATGTTGGTACATGTTTCGTTATTCATTCCTAATACACATTTCACCCTGTTTCTCTCCACCAGTTGCCTGTGAACAATTGCAGACATCGTTGCTAAAAGTGTTTCGATCATCTTCCCATGAAGGCTTCCCGACTTCAATAGGGGCAACTCCCAATTAATAGGAAGGTTGTAGGATGCTCGTTGCCTTATAATGGAGAACCTGTTCCGCAGCTGTACTTAGTTGTTCATCTTATCAATACAGCACAACAACAACTCCAACAAAATATCATGGATCTCAAAAAACAGCCAATGGAGATCAGTCGGAGCCTCACTGTCCACACTTATGACTGTTTGGCCAATGGTGAACTGCCTATTATTCTATAGGTGTGAGCGGGAAACGACATTATTCGCTCATGTGTTCTTCTCTAATGATGCGTATTTTGTCGCATTTCGACTGAATCGCCGAAAAAGTTATTGACTGTAACAGCAAAGCTCAATCGCCCCGTACCTGTACACGTAACGGGACAATCAAAGACGTTATCTCTCAGGGCGTGTGCTGTCTCAAATCGCTCCAGCTGCTGCGGGGAGAGGATGCACAATGCCCGGAGATCTACGACGACGCCAAGTGTTACTTCTTCGAAGCGACTGGGGACTATTACATGTCCCCGGAGGCCCCACTGCTGGACTTCTCCGGGGCGGAGGCGTACTGCAAGGAGCGAGGGGGCTTCCTTGCGGAGATCGAGGAGGAACTCGAGGAGAACCTCTTGTCGGGGATAGCGTCCAATGCGGGGTCTTGGCTGGGCCTGACGTACAGCGACGAGGTGTCGGAGTGGATTTGGACGAACAGTGGACGAGTGGAGAGCGACAGGTCGGACGTTTGGACTGTGTTGAGCAATCCGACGGGGCGGGCGCCTATGACATGCGCCACCATTGATCGGAGGGGGATATTGCGCAACGTCCGCCCAGAGGACTGCGACGTCAAGACGCGCTTCATATGCGAATTTGTCGGGCCGAACCTTCCAACTGGGTGCACGGTGAGCCGGCGATGTTGATGCGATAATTGCATCGATTATTGATTTAATGTTGAAAATTGTGTTATGCGTGATCTTGGGATTTGAACATTATGCTTGAAAATTTGTATTTGTGCAGTGAATTGTCATCCATGCAGGATCTCTCTGTCGTTACGAATGATCAATGTCTGGGGCGTTATTCTTGAGGGGTCTTATTGTGCTGCGATGATGCTGCTTCCTTCTTGAACAGAGGTGCACAGCTAGCGGAGCCCAACAGAGCAGAGCTTATTTCGGAATTGACATTCAAACCAGAAAGGCAGCATGTTAGGAGTCGTAGTTGATACCATTTCTGAGCGAACGGTTAACCGGTCAACATTGACGTTGTGGATTGCGAGTGCAGTCGCCTGAATGTGCATTCATTGAGCTTGTCAAAATTGCGTCATGGCCCTGTTGTTACATCTATAACTTGACGTCAGTCAGTCCTACTGTCAACACGTGTTTGTCGCCAAACTGTTCTTGTGCCATAGGAGAATGACACAATCAGAGTCAACGATGAGTACGAATACAATGTGCGCCCACTGTCCACATGCCGCCCAGAGGAGGAGAGCCTGCGAGATGCCACGGCCGTCAGCCCAGCAGCCAAAAACCTGACCAATGAGATTGTCATCTGTCCCCTTGCAGAACCGAAGTCCACAGCTGAAGTCCGCTGCTGCGACGACTGCAAGCTGTAGTGTGGCAGGCAAGTGCTGGTGATGGCGCAGAGAAAGATTCCTGTCGCGCCCAGGGAAAACGCACAAAAGGGGCGCTGGCTGGTTCTCGCTGGGCAATGCATGAATTTCCGCGTTTGGTGCGACCAGCCCCTGGTATGCATCCATAGTTCGTCCTTGCGCACATGGTGCTTCTGCCCAGCTGCACCAATCATGCGTACTAAGCCCACGAAACTTTTGCTACAGTAACAGCTGCTTGCCACTGTATGAAGCCATAGCCTGGCCAATTCCAGGGCAAATGGAAAGTTCGTCTGTTGGCAGCTGCTGATCAACAGGGCAGCAATGAGCAAAAGGGACGTGAGCGCAATTCCTTGCAAGGAAGGCCCAGGATGTGGACACCTGAACGTGCGACTGCATCGTAAAGAAGAAGCTGAAATTTGAATCGTGAAAGTCGTAAAACGGAGAATGCGTCAGTTTTTTACAACTGTCTTCGACAAGACAATGCGGCGTCTTGAGCCTTGTAGGCTCTGACCCGCGTGCACGCATCCAAAAACATTCTTGCGGCCCGTATCCGTCGAATTTATCCGCTTGCCACCTGTGCAGAATGAGCAATGCGCTCGATTGTATGCCCACATCTGCCCACACGTGCCCACACATGCCCACCGTACAGGGATCTTTCTGCCTCACATGGCTCACTTTCTACGGCCTTGCAGAGAAAATAGGTTGAAAAGCAATGAGGCTCTTCATCGCTCCAAACTGGCCTTATTCTCAAGCCTAACGAAGCAGCTGCGGTGAGAAGTCGTCAAGCTCGAAGCGTTGGCCAGCAGAAGTCAGTACAGGTCTCACTGAGGACAGATTTTGGAGCGTCGCTCTACGGAAGAATGAAGTATCCTTCTGTGCGGAACTGAGCAGATGTTCCGGTGCACCAATTGACGGCACTATTTGCGCAATAGCGCCTTTGACGACGGGGCGGCTGCAGCCAGTTGGCGTGCAGGCTACACCAGAAATTCGGCGATACTTTCGTCCACAACACTGCCTTCTGCGTTCGAAGCTTGGATAAGAGATGTCGTTAGATAGGATTTGCGGGAGACTGGCCGCCACTGCAACATTGTCATGATTTTGTGGCGCCGTGCACCAAATGCGATATTATTGAAGCATACCGTTTTGGGCGTTGTTCCTTGCTTTTCTGTGAGTTCTCCGTGCTCGCCTCCACTCGCCGTGGCCTGGTGATTGCCTCCATGTTGTGTTTGTCGCACTGCATGCAACCCTTCTGCATAAATGTGCGCAACGCTTTGTACCATTTTGCGCAACGACGCTCCCCAAGACGTGTAAAGACTTCTCTGCATTGCAATGCGGAACAAGAACATCGCTCAAAACTGCGACGGCGAAATCTATTTTGGACGCAGCAACCATGGAACCGTGGTCCCCACTTCCTTTATACCCCAGCTCTCAGCACACCTTGCATAACTGTCCAAGGCCACGAGGTTGTGCGTCGACAGCGGTTCAGCCCCTTGGACTTGCACCCCCCAGCGGCATGACTGGCCGCTTGAAGCTGGCGCACATTTCCATTGCTTTGCAAGGCCACTGCACCCCTTGCCTCGGGATTGGACAGTGATGGTGCGTTTCTAGGGCCTCGGCCCCTTCGGATCGTCCTTGTGTGATGGATTGTTCCATCGTGATGGAACATTGCTGGATTGATCGGATTGGACTGGACATCGATGGAACATCATGGAACACTGTGTGATCAACACAAGGCAATCCGAACGCGCTAAGGCCGTTGTCTGACGGCCCACGAAAAAACCAATATTGTCCAAATGTTTCACCAAATAGAGCCATCAAAAATGAAAACAATTATCAGGACCTTGATCGTAAACACTTGCTTTTCTATGACCTTTGCAACAGTGACTTGTGCAGGGTGTCTAAAGCAGTGTGTCGGGTGTTTGAAACGCAGACTTATTCTTGTCCGGGAGGCATGTGATTAACAGCAGTTATTAAGTTTCCGATTAGGGAGATGTTCGTGGCGGCCGTTCAATAAAGAGCGTCTTTTTCATTATACGGTTCTGGCCGCCGAAATCAAGGGGCAGCTGTGATTGAACACCCAAGAGCCAAGGTGTCACTGCCCGGGTGAATGGACCACGTGCTAACTACATAACATTCAGTGTCTAAAACTACAGTTTTAAGCACACAGACATGTGTTTGATGCCTTCTCTTTTGGCAGGACACCGCCCGCCATTTTGTGTAGTGCACAACTGCAGCCCATCAGCGCATTTTATGCGCATTTTGACCAAAGCACCAGTTTGGAGCCGCGAATTGCACCTTTACACAGATTGCGCACACACACATCACTGCGCCAGACAGCCAAATTATAGATCGGCCCCATTCTACACCTTCCTGACTTGGGCATGTGTAGGAAGTTTCACTTTCGCGCTCACATCCTTGCACAATTTTTGGGCGGCTGCGGCCACCCTCAAGGGAGCGCCACATTGTTCCAGCGCATGCCCTCATGCTGCCGCCCCTCCAACTTCTCCTCTCCACTGGGCGACCCCTTCTCAGGGCGTCTCCGTGGCGGACGCCACCATCTTCACGTCGATGGATTTGATGGGCAGATCTCCGATGGCCAGCCATCGGCGGCTCGCCATGGTGCGCGCCTTGTGGGCGTTCTTCACCAGTTTGGGCTACACCTTTAGGGCCTCCCCGGCCTTCTCGTCCCGTATGCTTTGCCTTAGTTATGCAGCGGATGCCTTCTCGGCGTCCTTTGGGCGTTTGTGGCCTTCCCAAAGTCGGATTCGAGGGATGCCTTGAAGTGATCGTTAGGCAAACCGCCTAACGGACATGCCGCTGAAACGGCGCCCTTGTGGGTGTTATGCCCGCCCTCTTACCACTCTGAGCGGGGGTGCACGGCCTCCTCGGCCGCCACCCCCAGCTCGCTCTCTCAGTGGGCGTTTTGTGGTGCTGCGGGGCTCCTTTTTGTGCCCGGGATACCTCAAATGTCATATGGCCTAATGTGGCGCCAAATGCCCACAGCCACACGCACACCTATCAATCACTAAACTGTGTTTGCACGTCCACAAAACGCACTGGTCTGACCCCATCAAACCGTCCACTTAACCCTTCAAAACGGACCAGGCCACACTGCAACCGCAACACTAGCGCCACCAAAATGGCTACAAAATCAAGACCATTTCACACATTCTTTAGGACGGGGCTGCGCCTCCCATATACAACAAGATGCCATAGCAGTGGCTGGGCGTTTAAAGCATTGTGTAGTACTTGAAACACAAAGACATGTTGCAATGGGGCAATGCACACAGCCCCAAATCCAAAACATTGAATATGTATCCAAACTTCAAAAGCAACATATCCAGCCCTCTGACATCACTCAACCACTACAAAGGCACAAGACTAAACCCAATAAAATGATCAAGAACACTTTCCGAAAAGTGCCCACACAAGATCAGGCAACCTCTCTCAAGACAACCTCAACAACTGGCCCCTTTTTCAAGTTAATGAAATTCCATACTATTACAAGTACAGAAAATGCGCCCTTGCACCTGCGCAAACCCCTCACAGCAACATGCTACTCCTCCCTTGTGTCCCACACCACCAAAGGAAAGTGGGCATGGTTTATGGGCTATAAAAAGTGTATTGGCAGCCCCGCAACCATAGGAAAGAAAGTGGCTTCACACACACAACCACTTTAAAGACAAAACAACCCTTTTAAGGTTCTGACAAAAGCAGTCAGCCCTCCCCATTCAGAACACAATGGACGAGTTGTTGGTTCTTCCACAGGACCATGCACAATCCGGTGCACTTGTCTTTTCAAAATAGCCACCAAACTCTCACACGTTCCCTTTTTTCCACTAAGCCAAACCATTGCCATTTTTCACAATAACTAAAAACTTTTGCCCCAAATCAGTATGGCTTGCACAGCCAACCATGTAGGAAGTGTAAAACAGTACTTTCAACACACATGGTGAGGGGAGTCAGCCTACTTCTGACTCTCACTACCTTACCCGTCGTGCGCTGCACTTGTCATGGCCATCCTGGCTCATGACTTTTAGTGCACGCAGGATTTTTAGTGAGAGAGCTAAAAATAGCCTTGCATAGCGCAAGGACTGTCACCGTCCCTGGTCTCTGAAATCCCACAGAGCTAGTACACATGCCATGTCAGATCTGTGTGTGTAAGCGCATTTCAAGATCTCCGCTTCAACGTAACCTTACACATCACATGAAACCCCATTTTTAATGTAGATTACTGAACTAGTTGTCTCTCCTCGTCAGGTCAGACAACCCAGATGGTCTTTCTCAGATCAGGGAATAGTTGATCAGACTATCCCAATCTACCCACACAGCCTGTGCCCTTGAGGCCCAGGACCTCCCAGAATTGTCATTGAATCCAATCAGTCTGGGGCGCTGAATGGTGACATGAATCTGGTGAGAACACAGGGTGGCATCTCACATCCAGCCCTTGTCTCCCTACCCTTACACCGCCCTCGTTCTCACTCCTAAGGTTTGCGGCTGTCCGCTCATAACCCATTTTCGGAGTGTTTTCTCTTCGTTTTTATTTTCTGTTTTATATCAGCAATGGTGGCATGCTCGGGCCATCCCATGCAGCGTGCACAGCGCATATGGTAGATACCCATCATACGCCAACTACATAAGTGATCCACCCAGTGAAAACGGTGGTCATTATGTGGCATCACGAACAGAGACCAATTCGGTTTTGAGGATCAAGTGAAGCGTGAAGCATTCGGGTTTAGCACTTTGATTCAAGTCGCGGAGGGAACGGAGATTGTCGGTCGTGGGCAGTGCATGAACATGAACAGGCCGCAGATAAAGGTGCTCGCAATACACATGTCCAGTAGCGTGTCGGGCAGGGAGAACATCCCTTCAAGCACCTGCTGCTGCTACAAGCATGATCCGCACCGTGCAGCGGTGGTCGTTATTCGCGGTCCCAAGGGGTTCTCGGTCGGAAACCAGTCATTCCGCAGGGGCCGCACGATTGTGGGTGGGTGGCCTCACGATCGATGATGTCCGATTTGAGGATTTCCGTTGGGGTCTGCGCTCAGCTTTTGCCGCCAATCGGGTGCGGCTGGCCTCAGGCTGGATGACACGCAATTCGTTGGCGGATCCGCCCCTTTTGCACCGCGGCCGTGGGCGTTCGGCCGCAGGCTCGTGCTGACGCGGCGGCGCGGGGCGGCGGGACATCGCCTTAAAATGACCGCCTCCACTGCCGCTGAGGCGCACACGAGCCTGCCTCCCGCTGTCAACCTCGACCGCCGCCGAAGTCGGGCGCGCAGAGCGCCATGGTGTGCCCGAAGGCGCTGGGCGCCTGCACGCTGGCGCTCCTGCTCCTCCTGCAGCCTCGCGCGGCCCTCGGCGACGCCCTGGACGACCTCATTGGCGGCGTGGAGGATGTCGTGAACCTGGTGGCCCGCAGCGCGGCGGAGACGTTCAAGGACCGGTTCCCAACCGTGGCGGCCTGCGAGTGCTCTCGTCACGCGTGTGATGGCCAGTTCGACACCGGCGGCACGTGCAACCAGGAGCTGGGGGACTCCGCGCTGTGCGGCGGCTGCGCGGGGCAGAAGGTGGGTGGCCGGACCGAGGGGCCCAGCGGCGGGGGCATGCCATCATGATCGCCATCGAGTTGTTGAATGGGGCTCTCTCGGGGCTTCCGCTGCCGGCGGGTAGGGCCAGCACTTCGCGGGACGCGGCGGGATCATGGCGATGGCCGGATTTGTGCAAGCAGTTTCTGATTCTGGGTGGGAGGGTTGATGGAGGACGTGGCGGGGCACATTTTGTTCCGTTTGCGCCGCTAAGTGCGGGCGGCGTTCCTGTCTGGAAGCTTGTGGGGCTCTGCGGGGTGCAGCTCTGGGCGTCATTGGTTTTTGGTCTTCGTGTGGTAGTGGTTGAGAGAGTGGAGCGGCCAAAACCCAAATACTGTACGTGGCTCTAGGTGCTCTTCCAAAAAGTCGGCTCTTCCCGCGGCATGGTTGCGCAGGTCCATCTGCCCGATGCTCCCAAATACGGGTGGTCGGATTGCCGCGGGGGTTGTGAGCATGGCGCTGCTACCGCAACTGTACATGCAGTGGCGCAGTCGAATCGACAAACACTCCCTAAGACGGAGAAAGCCCTGCGGCGCTCTGGAGATAGTGCAATGAACGGCAGGGCGTTCCACACCACGCGGGGGCCCCAGGCCCCACTGTCCGTTCCAAAGGTTGCGCACACAGCTGCCAGTGCCACAGCAGATGGCCTGCGCACTGTCAGAACATTCGAGCACAGCCCGGTGAATTGGCAATGGGATGTGTGACACGATGGCGCCCCGGTGAAAGGCTCAGCTCCGGCGTGCGTTGTGGGCGCATGGAGCGAGCGTCGGCGTAAGGTCGCAGCGTTCGATGTCGGCGAGCAGTCGGCTGTTCTGCTCCATCGTCGCAGGTCGCCCTGGAGCACATCGACAGGGAGGCCGCATGGGCATGTCCGAATCCCTTGACACGTGGCAGAAACGTGGCCGGAATTTCGGGCGGACGATTCGCATTCGGACTGGCCGGCAATTGTGTGGTGGCGGTCGACCGGCCAATTTTTAGTGGCAGACCGCAAGGGTTGGCAAGGGCCACTCGCGTGTGTTCAGCACTCGGGAGCCAAAGTCGACGTCCGTTCGAAGAGATGTGGGAAGCTGGCGATGTGACACGTGTCCACATCCCTGCTGCCGCCGTCATTGGAGCCCTCTTGTAGAATTCCGCCACACCGAGCCAAAACCCGTCGTTTGAATTCACTGCGAATTGTTGATCCGATGATTGTTGTCGTTTACCAAGTAAAGAAACACGCAATTCACTGTAGCCTTTGCCGCCTTTTCTAGCATAAACAGACGGAGTTTGTGCCCAACCCGACGTCCGTTCGAAGAGATGTGGGAAGCTGGCGATGTGACACGTGTCCACATCCCTGCTGCCGCCGTCATTGGAGCCCTCTTGTAGAATTCCGCCACACCGAGCCAAAACCCGTCGTTTGAATTCACTGCGAATTGTTGATCCGATGATTGTTGTCGTTTACCAAGTAAAGAAACACGCAATTCACTGTAGCCTTTGCCGCCTTTTCTAGCATAAACAGACGGAGTTTGTGCCCAACCCGCCCAAGTCTCCATGGAAACAGGCTAATTCTGTCCACCCTGTCTTGTCACCAAAGGAAAACTCCATGGTGCTGCTCCCTGTGAAAAAGGCATCGAGTAATGTTGAGGGACAATGCAGCTTTAGTTATCTTTTTACCCAAAGAATTACTTCGTAACGAGCTAAAGAGTGTAAAGTGGATTTTTCGCAAGAGAAGAAAGGACCAGCGGCACAAGGCAAAGACGAAAAATGCTGAGATTGTTTCCGATAATGCACTCAACAGCACTGTCTAAAACGATGTTCCAGGTGGAATTGAGTGCTACTGGAGTGCACGAAGGGACAATGAAAGTATTTTTCCAGAACATGTGTACTTGGGTGAGAATCATTGTACTGGTGTTTTTATTTGGGAAACGTCGGTTATGTACATGGTTAAATGGAAGACCGCACGTGGCGTATTGATTGGTTCGATGCTCTATTTCACGAACTTGCTTGAGGAGCTCGCACCTAAGTTATCAGAAACCGCTGACATAGTACACAACTATTGTTCTTGCACATCCCTGCCAATGTTTACTGCACCCACAACGATGGCATGAATTTGCTGAAATATCTTCTTTTGTTGTGCTGCAGCTCGACTTCCAGAATAGCTTAATATTAACGCCCCCAAGCGCAGATAATGGCAATATGGAGCCCGGTGTGAAAGATTCAATCTGCACTTTTCGGGTGCGCTCTCTTGTGCAAAGTGTTGCCTGCGTTTCAAGTTCTTGTCGATCATCAGAATGTCTCAGTGAAGTACCAAGTGAAGTACCAAGTTACATGTGGGAAAAGAGCACCAAAAATAAACTTGAGAGAATCATGGTAAAGCTGCTGCTCTTCACAATGGAGGTGTCCCTGTGCGGCACATGGATTCTTGATGTTATCATGCTGTCCATTTCTCATTTCACCCATATGGGCGTGTTCTTCAAGTTTAACCCGTTAGCTTATTCTCCCTTAGCAACTTTCAGGACAGATTCTAATCGGTGTCTGTTCATTATACAGCATAGAAGCTAACACCCACATCACTGCCACTGACCCAACTCCAGTTTAGTTATGTTGGTTTTGTGCTAGACACCTGGTGAGGCATCCCATAACTGCTTTTAGTCATTGGGTTGCAAGCTGCAGCTCAATCAGGCAGCCCAGTTGTTTGTGCCCCCCTTATTACATGCCCAACTTCCTGCATTACCTGAACAGAATGCATCTTCCGGTAGAGGAACCAGAGTGCTAAGTCGCACCAGTCGTGTGGGTTGGCCAGGGCATGGATGAGGTGTTTGCACAGGCAAAAGAGGAATTCGGAATCAGTGCCTGGACATACATTGCCACTACAGATGGTGTCATGAGGTATGTTTGTGCTCTATTGCAGCCCTAGTTAGGTAGCAGTCCGATATGTACAGGCAGGCTAAAGGAAGGCCATGTTGTTTTCCAACAGAAAGGAGCGCTCCGTACAGTGGGCATCCCCTCCCAGATTGATATTGTGAAGTGGGACTCTCTGTTGCATGTGACAGTCTCCGTCACTCTTTGTTTTTGTGTTTTGGAAAGTAAAACAGCAGAGCCCGAAGGCGATAGGAACTACCATGCAATCGAGGCTTGAATGTATGAGCGGCTCGCAGTTTATTGTGCAGCTAGTGTGGAGGATGGTAGTTGTCAGCAATCCACATACGAAGGGATCCAATATGCCTCTTTGATGCCATACTCTGATGTGAGTTTGTTCCATGTTCAACTTCAGGATTTTCTTCTCTTTCTTTCTTGTTGGCCACCAGTCCTCAGTGGAAACATTTGGTGCAAGACGTTTGCAGATATTTTGGGAAAAATGTGGATGTGAGGGATATGCCCCTCAAAGCTTTGTGGCTAAATTTGGACATCACTGCTGGCAGAGAATTCCACAGGGAGGGGAACAGTGAATTATTGTAGGGAGTTGGTTCCTTGTGGAAAATATGTTGCGCTTGAATGTACATTCATACCCGATCCTTGTGGAAGAAATACAAGCATTGTGCCATGTTGCAACTGAACCTCGAGTCGGTGGAAGACTCCAGAAACGATTGGACACAGATCAGCAAAAGGGTGAGAGTTCAAACTCAGGAGAAGTTGGAAATGCTCGTATTGCCCACATAGCACTGAAAACAAGTGCTGCCATGGACGGAATCTATAGAGAAGACTCCATTAGCGCAGGGCGTTCTGTGGTGTATGTGTACCATGTTTTTTATTCTGTTGTCAAGCACCAAGATGACATAAAGTATCTGCTTGGAAGGCACCGAACTTGAAGCCATGATGGGGCATGATGGGGTATTGTTGTTCAGAGCAGTGTGGGGGGTTGTCTTGAAAGGCCTACCTGTCGTTTGCTGTCCCCCTGCTGACTCCTCATTGCAAAGACTGAATCCCTGCCACCACTGCGCAGGACATGGCCGGGCCATGCCATGGCCCGCGAAGGGGGAAACTGCATACCATATGATCCGGTGAGCACATGCAGCTGGGTGGTTTGGCATCAATTGTTCCTGGCTTTGCAGATGAGTCACAAGCATGAAACCTGCAGTTAGTTTTGCTCTGCCCCAACCAACACTGACTCTTGCTTTGCTTTGCTTGTGGAAGCGCCTTCGTCCATGGTATGTTGCAGCCACCAGTGGGCCGAAAGATGTTGTGCTGGTGATCGACACATCAGGTGAGTGGCTTAGCTGAACTCACTGTCGTGAATTTCGGTGGCTGCAGTTGCTATGATGGCTATAAAAATCCAAATCACAGGGAGATGATGGCATACCCACAGTAACTGATGTGGTGATTTGCCACAATTGCACGTCTGGGTTGAAGGAAAGCTTGCTTGCAACAACGAAATGTGCACACAACAAGATGATGTTGCTGTCCATGCTATCTCTGACTGTGTACAGGCACCAAAGACAGGGCTGTGCACTGAAAGCTAACTTCTTTTCGTTGGTATACATGACAGCATGTGTCACTATATCTGAGAACTGCTAGACCTCAAGAAGAAAAGTTAGCAAGGTACCATCAGTTGTGCATGTAGTTGCCAAGTTGCATTGTGAATTCTTCCTACAGGTGGCCTTTGGTTTGCAACTCGGATGCCATGGTCAATGGTTTGGGTGAACCAACTGTTCTGCTGCGGGCTGCATTGTTGGCACAATTTATGGCTCTGTTTCTGCTGCACCATGCTCTGATTGTGACGACGACAATGCACTTGCTGTACTGTGAGCTGTACTGTACAGTGGATTGGAACGTTGTTTGCCCAGAGCTGAAAGTTCACCTAAGCCAAGAAGTTGAATGTTGCAATGTTCGCTTGGCTTCCTTTGTTACTGCAAATCCTTCAAGTGATTGCATTGTGGTATTGTGCAGGGAGTATGCTGACAGCCGACAGTGAAATTTTTGGAGACTTCCGGACAAGATGGCAGATAACCAAGGAAGCAATCCTTGCACTCTTGGGTACATTTGGTATCTCTGACTATGTCAACCTCGTGGGATTCAACAGCAATGTCAAAGTGCTTTTGACAAACAAACTGTTCCAAGCAAAAGAGCAAGAAATTGCCCTGCTGCGGGACGAAGTTGAGAACTTAGAGCCTCTCGGAGGGACAGATTTCCGGCTGGGATTGAATGTTGCTTTTGATCTCCTCATCAATGCGACGAGGACCAGCATAGAGAATGAGCAGCCCACCAGCTCCCGCTGCCAGAAGGTCAGCAGTGGTCACTCACTGAATGATTTGCACTGCATCACCATCATGCCATTTTTCTTTCCCTCGTGCATCCAGATTTCAAGTCAGCGAAGTGCAGCTACAACGAATTGTCAACTTGGCCATTATGCTCCCACACTTGCCCATTATGCTCCCACACTTGCATCCTCATTCTTACGTTGATCCACGTCTACCTTGGATGAGTTTTGAGGTTTGGCAGCCCAGCTATGGCTAAGTTATGTTGCAATTAGTTTTATTGAATTAATTGTTAACAGCACACGACGTTTATATGTTTACTTATGCTGGGCAGAATGCTTGTCAGCAGCAACCATTCGCAGTACCACTTGACAAGAATCCAAACGACAGGCCTTTCCTTCTATGGCGCAGAGCCATATTGTGGACTGGCCATGACGTATCAATGGTGTTGCATCATGTTGTTGGAAAAGGCGCTTCTGGCAGTTGGGACTGACAGTGCATTGGCACCCAAGTGCCTCAATCTTGCATCGAAAACTTCAAATGCATGAGTGCAAAATCCAGCCTCTCAAGAGGAATTTCCTAACACTGCATGTGGTGCCCAGGTAATTCTGTTTCTGACGGACGGCCAGGATTGTACGATCACTGACGCTCCATGCGCGATGCCAGTGGGTGAAAACGAGACTGGGGTGGACTCAGTGCTGAATTTCATCGAAAAGAAGCAGACACTGCTGGAAAATGCAGGGAGCCAGCGAGCACATTTGTTCACCTTTTCGTTCGGCTTAGATGCAGACGATGAAATCCCAAAGGAGATGGCGTGCTCAAATGAGGGAGCCTGGAGCCGCATTTTACGTAAGGACACATGCACACACCATCAAAGCCAACACTGGTGTATGGTCAGTCGCAAGCCAGCGATGGACAAACACCAACTTTTGTGAAGAAAGAATGTCTTTGCAGTGTCTACGTACACACAACTTTGAGGGATTGCATTGACTCTGTGGCACAATCATGTAGAGTGCTGTATCAAGTAGTGTCATACTGCATATCAACACACTGGGTTTGTTCTTTCCAACGAGTGCTGTGTGGCTAAGTGGTTCAACTTTTTTACCAACTTGATATTGAAATTTGCATTGCTTTTTAGACATGGACGGCACATGGCCTGATCACCTTAGGTTCCATCACGATGTCTCCAGGAGACCCAAAGGACAATTTGGTACCCCAATCCCAGTGGATGTGCTATTTCTTTGTCAGTGCAGGATAATAGGCAGTAGTTCAGTGCCACTGTGCAGTGCAATCAGTTTTTCCTGCAAAACTGCAGTATCGAGGATGGCAGCCTCCCTACGTTTTCCGCATTGCTCCACAAGGCACTTCACGAGTTGCAACCTGCTTTTGTCCGTGGGTGGGCCATCTTCACCCATGCTTTTTGGTTCCCCACACACCCCGCACTCATTCCAACCTTTTTTGTTAGCAGTCCACAAAATACGTTCTCTCCAATATGAGTGAAAATGTGTTTGGCAACATACACATGCTTTCAACCGATCCTTGTCGCACTCAGTGGAGAACAGATTTTGTGATTATTCCTACACACTTTATACCACAAGTCAATGCACATCTGCTCAAGTAGCAAGGACTGAGATAATGGTTTTTCTTGATGTTGCAGCTGGTGATGACCCATTGGTCAAAATGAATGCCTACACCTCCTATCTGGCGTCAAGAAGAGGAGAAGCCGACGTCATTTGGTCCCGAACCTATGATGACGCCTTTGGCTTGGGCACTGTCATCACGGCTGCCAAGCCAGTGTACGGTCCGATAACATCCACTGGTGAACCAGGGGGGCTCATTGGTGTGGTGGGGCACGACGTGAGAATTTCAGACTTTAATGAGACTGCCCCAGGATTCCAGAGGGTAATTGGGCGATTCATATCCCGAGGCACACAGTGCATTCCCATCCAATTCTCAGGGTGTGACCTGCAGGTACGAATTGCGCTGCCCAAGGCGTTCTGTACCTCAGCTGTTTCGCATCGCTGACACCTGAACCATAATTTTTGCCTGTAAACATGCTACACTATGAGATGCCCATTCAATTTACTCTGAATTCCTTGGACTACTTGCATTAGGCAAGTCCGCAAGTGCACAAGTATTGCTACTTGCAGTATTGCAACACTGCAGTACTGCAATACTTGCACTTTGCAAGTATTGCAAGTACGCTTCATGGGTCAGCCACTGACCACATCCTTGCTGATGTCGCGTGGTCTGAAATTGTGCCAGCTGCCGCGGGGAACTGAGGGCCAATGCCCAGAGATTTTCGACGAAGCTCAGTGCTACTTCTTCCAAGAAACTGGGGACTACTACATTGCACCGCAGACACCAGTGCTGGACTTCGCTGGAGCGCAGGAATTCTGCAGGGAACGTGGGGGATTCCTTGCAGAAATCAACGAGAGGCTGGAGGAGGAGCTCCTGTCGGGGATAGCCTCCAATGCTGGGTCGTGGGTTGGCTTGACATTCAATGCCAGCGTGTCCGAATGGGTTTGGTCAGAGAGCGGAAGAGTGGAAGATACCAGGTCCGACATCTGGACTGTGCTCAGTGATCCGACTGGAGGTTTTGGCAGAAGGTGCGCCACCATTGATCGGAGGGGTGTGTTGAACAACGTCCGCCCAGAGGACTGCACTGCCAAGAGGCGTGTCATCTGCGAGTTCGTGGGACCTAATCCCCCAGCAGAGTGTTCGGTGAGTTGAGCACCTTGCTTTAGCTTTGATTGTGGCATCACTGCTACGGGTTCCATGTGCAGTACTTCAGAGTCAATGGCCTGCGCTCACCCGTCATCAAGGGAAGCTCGAATCAAGTTCAGTAAATCTGCTGTGTGCAAATGTGGGGTTTGAGCACATGCACAAATTTTGACCAGTGCAATACGATTCATTATCCAAAGTGGGTTCGCCTTAAAGTATGCCACATATGACACATGGACACATTTGACGTGTAACACAATTCCGCAAGCGATTATACAATGATGCAATCATTGATGGCGCAGTGATGATGCAGGTTGGATAGTCAATAGAGTTGCGGCCACTGCTGATTCACCAGCTCTCCAGATCGTCTTTCCGGTGTTCAAGTCTCATGGCAGCCCGAAAGAAGGAAGTCCCTTTTGGGAGTCACACTGTTCCTCGTCAACTGCTTCATTTTCTCAATGCAAGGCAGAAAATTTTTTGTCTGTGCTATTTAATTTTCCAATAATGCCAACAACGCACTCCCTGTGCATCATATCATGCATTGTCGGTGTGTGAAAGTGTCGACAGGTGCTGGTACCGACACTTTGGTTGTGCTACAGGAGGCTGACACAATCAGAGTTGATGAGAATTATGTGTACAACGTGCGACCCCTGTCCACATGCCGCCCAGAGGAGGAGAGCCTGCGGGATGCCACAGCCATCAGTCCAGCAGCTAACACCTTAGCCAATGAGAAGGTTGTCTGTCCCCTTCAGCAAACGACCGCCACCACTGTTGAAGTTCGCTGCTGCGACGACTGCAGGCTGTAGTACGCAGGTGAGTTTGGGGACAGGAAAATAATGCAGCTCCTCAGTTCTGGAGAACAACCCCCACCAATTGCATGGTACGTGCTGAGCAGTAATGAAGGTCCCCCCTTTAGGGCGATCCAGCGCTGGATTCTTTGGGCATTTCGTTTTGAAGATATATGTTGCTGTGCCTCACGCGGAGAGAGGAGAATGTTCAATTCTGGTCAATCTTTGCATATCTGTAGTGGTCCCCATCCACCCACAGTCACGGGAACATGTTCGCAGCTTTGATCGCACAGTTTTCCGTGCCCTTTAGTTATGCTGAAGTCTCACACTGCGTTGGAAAACGTTGTACATCCAGGGTGTGCATGTCAGGATAGGGCCATATCCCAGGGTTTGGTCATCCTGGGTGTGAAGCTGAGATCACATTCGATATCCAAGATATGGGGTCTCCCGTTATGCCATTCCATATCTAGGTTATGGGACATTTACCGGCGTGCAAGAAGCAATGCCACGCCAACCCAATGCATCCACAGCCAAAAGTCCCCATTGCTAGGTGCCGCCAGCCTAGTGTCGAGCGTGCAAAGATCTTCTATTGACTGAAACCACTGTGGTCTCTCGGGCTCGTCATTTAATCTGCCCTCGACTCCCAGATACACTGTTGTTGCTTGAATGTTAATGGTGCGAAAACACTTGTTCTAGGAAACCTGATTAATTGATTGAAAGCGGCCGGGGGCCATATCCTTCGAACTAGAGTATGTCAAACGATTCTGAAGTTCTAACAAGATTACGGTTTTAGGAATTTTTTTCATAAAACTATCCGCACGTCAGTCGTAACTTTTTCAGGCTATCCGAAACGGTAAATAATGCTTCCTGAAGTGAAGAGCAGCAGCATGCCGTGAAACGTCGACAATCCACCCACATAAATGGCGATCACTGTGTGGCGTTGCAAATAGTCCCCAAATAGCGATCGCATCATGACGAAAATGGAAAATATTGCGGATGCAGGGTTCCTTTTACCTCTCATGCCTGGAGCTGGCGGTGAAAGAACATTACAGGGAACTGACGCTCGTTGAAAACCGAGAGAAGAAATCGAATCAAGAAAACTTTCAGCTGGAAACTTCGGGCCACAGACCGATGCAGGCCCGAAGGAACATGCATATTTTGGATCGTGTGGCTGGGGGATACAAGGGGATATCTGTTGTGCGCAACATTTAGGACAACAACTCCGTATATTCATTGGAGGTGCTGTTGGCAATCCAGGGGTTTCTGTGACAGGAACATGCCCGGCTCCCGACTCGCTCTACCAAAGACGGACTGTGGAGATTTTGGACATTGAAAATTTCCTTCCGGCTATTGGAATTTTGGAAGTGATGTACGACTAGTCTGTTCGGGAGCCTGTGTTGGCGTCTGTCCGAGCTTCTATCCGGCCGTCGGGGTGCGATACTTTCAGGTTTTTATTTCTGTATGCAGTTTTGAATGGAGGATTTCACCTGTCTTGAATTCTTTCGACTTTGATGATTTAAATATTTGTATTTGCCGCTTGTGTGCCAGCCTTGTCCGAAGGCAGTTTCCATCGGGCGTTTTGCGTGAGCCGGCATGCGTGTGGATTCATGCAGACGTGCATGCACGGGGAGGCTTGCATGGGTCGTGGCTTTGCTCGGGGGTGTCGTGCATGCAGCAATTTTCAAAGCCCGTCGTGCGGGCGAAATCCCTAGATGGGAGTTACACAGGGCATGAAACAGTTGGCAGGGCGAAAACCTGCAATGCCAAATAACTCGTTGCCAGCGTTTTCTGCGAGAGGACACATCGCAAGTCAACTCGAACACTCGCAAGCGGAACCTATTTAACTCCGTAAGAGAGTATTGAATCTGTTACCAAACTGCCCTTGTATATAATAAAATTCAAAACAGCACCAACGCATATTTAATATGGTACTGTTGTATGTGCATGCAAGTGACTCGTTCCACAAGTCATCTTTGCAATGAAAAGCCATCAAAAATGAGCAAAGAAAAGGTCAGAAAGACCGCTAGAACGCAGGGCCAACCATACTGTAAGAGATAACAAAAAGAGAAGAAAGAATGCACAACAGATTACCCAAAATGGTGGGGAAACGCTGCCAAAAATTGCCCAGACTATTGTTCAATAGTTTAGGGGTGCGATGGGGGAGCTGAGGATGCGAAACTCTGTGCCATACGGATGCCATGCCACCCCACCGCCCTCCTGTGGGTTCTGCAACCTCATGTGCAGCTCTGGGATTTGAGGTTTGAGTCTTGCCGCGACTTTGTGCAGTTTTCAGTCTGGATTCGCACCTTGGAACTTGTGAATTCGCAGTCCAGACGGACTGAGAGGTGGGTGCGTCATGTGCTGTGAGTTTTTGGACCAAGAGGGTGTGCATGGTAGGTCGAAACACTGGTCAAACTTCTTTTTTACATGGCGGTCTGTTGGGCAGTTCCTGGGGGTGTTTTGGGACAGTTTCACAGAGAGTTTTTTGAACGTTTTCGTGTGGAACCACATTGGGAGTGAGTGAGGCAGGTTGTTGCCCCTCGCTGGCTATTCAAGGGGGCTGCCCACACCAGGGGGCGGCCCCCGCCAGGAGGCGGACTGGACCCTGGTTTGCAAGTCTTGGCGGTTGCAAGCATACGATTTGCTTCCGTTTCATCTCCGTGTGCCTGCTGTTCGATCTGGTTGCTGAGCAGGAACGACCAGCCCTCTCGTGTGGTGGATCCGGGCATCTGGACGACTGCATTGCTGACGGACGGTGGGATCGGTCACCGAATCGATTCGATGTCGCAGCAGGTGACTGAGGCGGGCACGACAATGATTGATCGCCATGTGGGGGAAGGTCTCGGGCAGACATGTGAGCTGGCGCTCCCAGGTGTACTCGCTGTGCTACGCCGTGAGTCATGGCGCAACGGCAGGTCGAATCTGGCTTCGGTGGAGTCTCTGCGGGTGGGTGCCGATCATGATGGGGTGCTGCAGAGGTCGTGGTGGAGAGGTGATAGCTCGCATGTCAATCGCGGGTGGAGCACACATGTGCGAACCTGTTCCATCACAGAAATGATGCATGTCGGCGGGGATCGTGATGGGAAGAAGTTGATGGCCAGCGTGACACCTACGAGGTCTGGGCCAAGAATCACGTAACCGTGGTGGAGGCAGATTGGTCGGGCCGGCGGCGCGCCCTGGTGTGAATGACCGATCGTACCAGCACCCCACCTGACCGCTACTGCCTTACATGAGGTGTAGGCAGTGGGGATCGCTGAGGGGGGCGGGTGACCGGCACTTTATTGCCGTCACAATGTACTACTGTGGGTACGACGGTGAATGCAACGTCCACTTAAGTATTGGAACACAGCCAAGGGGTGCGTGAGTACTTCGTGACACACCGCCGGTGCAATGGGCGAGCGCGTGGCATATTACCAGCTACTTAAAGTACTAAAAGCGATGATGAGTGTTCTAAGGCAGTAGGTGGCATCGAAGGAAGCTGTGGGGATACTTCCCCTTTATCTCTTGACATCATGCTTGTTTCATTCTACCCATTTTTGCGTGTTGTGATTTGGTCTTGACCAGACACAATTGCGTGCCGCAAGCACCCTCAGGTCTTCTTTGGCTGCAAGGGAGAGTGGTAGGTGTCGGCTCAAAGAGAACTGATGAGACCGAGTGGCATCAGTCGAAACCGGTCTTGTCTGCTACAGCCAGTGGCTCGCCAAGGTGCACGGTGAGCCATGAGGATATGCAAACATTGCCCGGATGGAGATCGGGCAATTGGGGGAGCCGTCCCAAGAGGGGCGCTCCCACAGCGCAGTTGTGTGAAAATGTTGACGGAATAAAGTACTGGACCAAAGGAAAGAATGTAGCGGGCGCGCAAATTACCCAATCCCGACATGGGAGGGTAGCGATTAGACATACCGGATAGAGAATCTCTGTCGGTTGCGCCGCCTTGGAAGGGTTGCCTTCCCACGACTTCTGCTTTGTCCCCGACGGCATAACATTGCGAGCATGGTGCGACAGTACCAAATCCGCGCCAATACAAAAAATGTTGAATGGTGTAACAAAAATGTTGAACCAGCACTATTTAGCCACAAGATCGCAGCCACCATAATGGCTCATAAATCCTAAACCCTGAACCAAGGGCGAGCCCAATGCTGGTCGCAGGGCTGGTCACAGATTACCATTCAAAGACTAACTGGTAGTGGTTCAACAGTTTTGGTTCACCATTCAACATTTTGGTACTGGCACGAATTTGGTACCAAATTCTATATGCGTTGGTACTAGTTTCAATTTTATTTGGTATGTAGGCAGTTAGGTACCAGGTTCAATATTGCTTAGTGACAATTTCAGTTTTATTTTACACGCTCACGAACCACGCATGCTTGACACCTTCCACTCTGTTGTTGTGGCGGAAGGACCAATCGCTTTCTATTATGACCAGCATTGTACCTAGACTCGCAAATGTAGTGAGATATTTTGGAATTCAGAAGAACATATGTACACAACAGAGTGTACAAGTTGTCTCGCAACAAGAAATGATTATAAAAAAAAGCAGCAGTGTACAATATGGGTCAGTGACAATTTGGCCAAGTGACATTCTGGCCAAGTTATCGTGACCTGTCCATGGCGCAGACAAGCGCCGCCACCTCAGCTCGCGGTGCGGCTGACTAGAGTGCTACCGTGTGAACTTCGGCTGCATCACTAGAAGCCCAGCCTCTTCGGTGCGAGCGAGGCAGCGGCGGAGCACGGGGCAGGGAGCCGTCCTGCTCCTGGACAGGACCAGAGCAAAGGCCAATTGTGCCCCGTTCAATCGTCTTTTTTTTCAGGTCGCCAATATATGATATGAAATTTATAGCAACCTGGCGACCCACGAGGCTCAAAAGGTGGTTAGGACGTGGCGAAAATCCGCAAAAGTGAATAAGGGCTTAGTCTCCTCCAAAGGGACGAACGCCAGCATAAAAGGAGAATACGGAGACGACAATGCGGCGAGACGTATGGGTATCTCGATGTTGCGCCCGATTCTGCCAGGAAGG